GAAAACATTTTTCATAATGATGATATTATATTATTCTAATGGCAAAGTTTAGTTATAACCCATAAACCACACGGTAAATTTTGTTTAAATTTTGCATACAGGTGGCATTTAAGGCATATAACTGTCCTATGTGGTCAATTTTACAGTTCCTCATAGTGCCCATAAGGGGTTGTATACCTTAAATAAAAAAAATACACCCTCCGTCTGATAGGCAGAAGATAATAAATGAAATGATATCAATAATGAAAAGGTAATTTAATTTATATTTAGTGTAACGAAATGTCTTCACACTGTTACGTCAATATCACTGACTAATGTGATTTAAGTATAAGTACGCTTTTTAAGAATTTATTTGAAAATATCAACAATATTTCACGACCCACAGGCTAATTTCTCGTACATAGTTTTGATTGATTAGATAGCTTCAATAAATTGTTGATAAATAACCATATAGGGCTTTTAAACAAATGAATGCTTGTCAATTGTGAACATTTATCAAATTAAATGTAAATATTTTATATATAATATTCAACGCGGCAAACGAAATCAATATTATTTATTACCCCTCACTTTTTTCGTAATGTTAATTTCCCATAGGCCTCTGGGAGTTATTCTTCCTGTTAAAGCAAGTGTACCACATGACCAAGAAATTTATACTGTTACAGGGGTAACAGTACTTTTCAACAGTATAAAATCTAGTCACGTGGTCTATTTTCTAAATAAAATAAAATAAAATGGCCGCCATTTTTCTCTCGATTCATTGTTATTTTCGAAATTTACCACAATAGGGCATCACTAGAGATGCTATGACCACCCATAAAATTTAGTTGCTTGCACCCTGGAGTGCTTTTCGCGTATAAAATATCTTTTTGTGGTTTTGTGTTTTGTTTCCTAAATAAAACACAGCTTATTGTATGTTTATATGTTTATGACTGGTAGATACCATCACTTGCTTAAAGAATAAAAGAAAATAAATCTCAAGTAGGCATACTGTACAGTACACTTAAAACTTAAAAGGTAAGGACAGTTTAGTTATTGTTACTCTTGGTTTATTTTTGTTACAGTTAGATTTAGTTGACAATTTCATATGATCACAGTATTTGTTCGGGGTAATAAAATAAATAACACATGGGTTTGTAAGTAACTGTAAAAATATCATCCCTCGTAAAAATGCTGTAACCCTCGGCTACGCCTCGGTTGACAGTATTTTCCTCGGGATGATATCTTTACTGTTACCCACAAATCCATGTGTTACTTATATAATATTGATATAGAATTGTTTTACACAAGTTAGAATCATGGCAATAAATTTACAATTCCATATCATAAGAAAATGAATGAGACAAGAGTAAACATTAATTAGGTTATTTGTATGAATAATAACCGTTTATAAATTATTAACATGTTTCAAATTTCAAAGTATCACTATGACATTTCTGGCATGCAATTTTACTAGCGATGCAAATTATTTAATTAATATTTACAGGTTTCCACTTGTCTAATATAAAGTTGGTAATACAGAAACGCTGTGAGTCTAAATGCATCAATTTATTTATTAGTTTTATTTGCTTTACAGCAATTTGGAAAAGGTCGTAAAAATAATGCAACGAAAATTACCCAACGTATTTGATTGATAGTAAAGATAAACACGTAACAAATATCATTTCAACATGTTCAACAGTTGAAATTGATGAAAATTTGATGACAATTACAAGGAAATTGAGGTAAAAAGTTCTGCAAATACCATAGACCATAGGTATCAGAGCTTTTTTTCGCTTTCATTTAACACAAGTTTCAGCCTTTTATGATAGTTAAATCAATATGAATTAACGATTGAACTACATTTAGTACATGTATTTTAAACTGAGAGGTCTTTTTTCTGACCGGGGGTTAATGTTGTTGTTTTAGATAATGTGGAGGCACATTTTCTACGGAATAGAGTGCGTAAATTATGCCTGCAAGCTTTGGGCCATTTCTTGAATGAATTTTTGGACACACTTAGAAAAGTATCACCGAGCATTGAATGTGAAACACTTATCACATTACAATAATTTTAGGCGATGGCCCTAACGGAACACCGTAGATTACAGCTTAAAGTTAACTGAACGTACAATGCGATGCAAGACAATACAATGCTATACAAAATTAAAAAGGTCGTTCTCACCGGCAACTCTGAGAAACAAATGTAAAACCAATAGGTTACAACATTCATTGTAGAGATGAAATTTAATAATAAGTATTTCAAATTATATCATGAAAAACAAATCATGACGACACAACAGACAATTTCAACATTGGCCACTTCATTTTATTGCAACAGGTTCTAATCGTTAAATTATATATTGCTTTACATGTCTTTGAAGTATTATACATTTATTAGAAACTTATTTTGGTTGATTGAACATTTCATTCCTAACGAAAATTGATGAATTAGTAGAACAAATGATCAAAGCAACAATAAAATATATTTAGATCGACCTTTCCCCAGTCACAATCATGTAAGGACGTCGTTTTTTTTCACTGTTTAAAGAATTGTGAATATAAATTTGTATTGACCTCACCATACGTTTTGTGGCATTAGAATAATATTTCCTTGAAACTGCTAAACCGAGAGCTTAGATATTTTGCTTGTAGCATAAACGATACAACTAGTTTTCAAACAATTATTACATATTTGAAAAAAATACCGTATACCATCAACTCTAAATAAAGTAAAGATTAGTAGTGATGGCCACATTTTATAAAAAAAAATCGGGCACTTTCGATTTTTATTAAATGTTGATTGATTCTAGAAGATAATTCGATATACTGGGAAAGGCACGGTAAGGTTCATTTAATAATGATTTATAAGACTTTATTAGTTTAGGGAATTCGTGTTTACATTTCGGAGTCTGCTATATTTCTTGATGGTTTACGGTATTTTTCTCATGTAAAAATATGTAAAAATTCTTTAAAAAAAACCGAGTTTTATCGTTGGTACATATGTCCCAGTCGTGTTAAAATATTGAAATATTTTTTAAGGTGCGTTTACAGGGGCGTATCACGTTGGGAGGGGGGGGGGAGAACCTGACCCCCAAGCGTCTGTGGTTAGAATAAGAGATGACACATACTGAAATTAAGAAGCTGACCTTCCTATTACGGGCCACGCTAATTTGGTTCCTTCATAAAACTCAATAAAGAAATACCGTGCACCACATCAATACATACTACAAGTTTTGGGAAATAACATAATATTTTTTATAACAATATAGAAAACCGTTGAATCAGGCGAACCGCTGTGACGGATTGAACAAACACACTTTAATAAATATATATTATCTACAAAAATGTGTACACAATTGTACGGTGTTTGTTTGAGTACACTGTCCATTTTAAATTTTAAGGAAGAAGAAATTAAACCGTGTACCTAGTTATGCCCGTGTGATTTTCAAGCGACAACGGTACATAAATAGCTTCATATAGTTGAAATATTTTCGTTTACAACAGGAAGTATAAAATATCTAGTATGGAGGTATGAAGGTAGGAAGTTATTTTTTCCTTTTATACCTTTATTTGATATCAGTTAATATAAACATTTATTGATCTGTAAGGAAACATAGTATTTTGTACAGTATGTAGTAAATTATATCTAGTTAACCTTATCGTTTATAAAGTCTAAGTTGAACTTCGTGTTCATAACAACGCCTGTGCATTTGATTATATAGCTTACGGAACGTTGGTGGTTCTACCCAGGTGCCCGTTCGTGCCTGAAATAATGCACAGAAGGGCACCTAGGGTCTTCGTCCACCAGTAAAGCTAAAACGTCGTCATATGACCTGCACTGTGTCGGTGTGATATAAACCAAAACAAACAAACCAAAACAAACAAACACAAATTTGATTTGTGTCTAAAATGTTCTAAATGATCAGATTATTATTTATCTATTAATATTTATAATACTTTGGAAAACAAGTGAAAATTGTTATTTATAGCGATATTCTGAAATCTCCCACTTTTCAGTGTTTAATATGCAAAGGAAAACTCGCATTGATCTGATGATCTTAATTGCAGAGCATTTGACACTTGAAAAGGTATTTGCATTCAACAAGTTTATATGGTATAGCAAATCAAATGTCAATGATACAGTGCCCTTGAACGTAATGGTTATTTCAGTTCTTAAACTAGATCGTCATTTGACACAAAAACGTAATTATTATTTACGTGTGATTGACGTAGTAAATAAAAGATCAAGGGCACAATGTTTGGAAAGTGTACTGCTTCAAGAAAACGTAGTGCCATTTAACTAACAACAAACTATAAATACTCGTGCAATAGCATTTAATTAAATTGTATTGAATATGTTAATTTATTCAAGAAGATGAACAATGTAAAATGTTGTATATAATGGTATTGATATCACATGTATTGTGAAAATATTTTTGAAGAAAACTGCGGATCATGATTGACAAAAAGAGAGCAAAATGGAAAATTTTTTGATTCTTCTTTTGCTTCATGGAATTCACATTAACGGTACGTTTATTTTAAGTTATTAATTAGTTTATTTAAATGTTATATAGACTAAACACCCTATGAGTAATGTCATGTATCATCATATTTTATCTTTCAAGCATACATTTTCTGCAAAAATATGCCCCTTTTAACTTGCATTTACCTCTACAAACACCCTGCGGGCCTGGAGTGTCTGCGTCCATGGCAAAAGAGTTGGATTAACATTATTTTTCTATTTCAAATGATTTGAATAAACAGTTTAATCAAATTGGCTAAGACATTGTATCAGGCATAAATATGTCTTTGTTGCAGCTGAACATATTCAAAGTTTATCAAAGGCAAAATTATTGATTTATGTCAAAAAAGATAACATTTGAAAATATTATAAATAATTGGTTTAATTCGTTCTTTTAAGGTGGAAACTGTAAAAGCATTTCACTTTTTCCAATAAAGGCAGAGGTGAACCTAAATGAGACCCTTACATTTACTTGCACATATAATGGATATGAAGAGGTGATTGGAACAAATGGAATGTACATAACAAATATACTCCATATGTTGTTAGAGACACAGATGGTACATGTATTGGCAATGGAGCATTTAGTAATGGCACAATTTTCAAAGTCAGTTGCCCTTCAAACACATCTTTCACAGTTTCGATAATACGTGCGCAATTAAGCGATCACAATGTTTCATGGCAATGCTTTGACCGTGAGAGGATAAGCAACACTGTTACAATTATTGTCAACGGTAAGTCATGTCTTAGTTAGTTTGAGTTTGTCTTCAATGGTATTAAGTGATAAATCAACGTTTATATCAGCTTTCACAGTTCGATTGAGATTATGAAAGTGACAAAGTTATTTTTTCTGAAATATTTTACATACACATGTAACAATGTTTAACTTAAATGCAAAAAAGTCATACTTTTCATATTTTTTACCAATACACATTTGTCGGATGACATAGTAGAACAGATGACAATTAATTAAATTTGTCATTTAGTTTATCAAAAGTATATATTTAAAATCTTTTGATATCAAGTTGTACTACATGAAATTTTAAAGTAATAAAGATACTTTGGTACAACATTGGTGTCATGAATTATGAAACATATCCGAGATATTTCTTAAAATTTAGTTCCCGCTGTTACTGTAGTCTTACGTTCAAATGCAAGCATTTACATGAGAGAATATCAACCACAATTATCAACGTGTACTACCTCAGCATGCCGGCCAACTCCAACAGTAAAATGGTACATACGTCATTTCAAAGAAAACATTACAGTGGACATGACCGCGCACCACTCTAAACAAAGATATAATCAGCACGACAATGGTTTAGTGTCATCTGAAAGCATACTCGAATTCCTCCCAAATAGGACGATTAACAACTGGACATTATTTTGTGAAGTTCGGACACAAATGGAATATGCTGATATTTCAAGCAAAGAAATCGTATTAAATGTGTCATGTAAGATCTTCGCATTAATTGACTCTTTACCTTTGTCAATAAAATATTTTACGTAATTATATATTTTGGTCTTTAAACAAAGAATTCATAACACATTATATAGTCTTAGAATTCTGACTGTTTCAAACTTTTACGCATGTATTTGATCATTTTACACTGTACTTTCAAAAACAAAGATCCCCCGGAAAGTCCACCATTCATCCATGGATTCACTAACGACACGGTACCTCGAGTTGTTGAATCAGAACCAAACACTCTGAGTTGCTCTGTTACCGGAGGAAATCCATTGGCTACTTTGACATTGACCTGTTTCAACACACGTTCAACAACATTGGTTATAACAAACAGAACGGTTACGGCTACAATTACTTGGAAGGCAAAACGAAACCAGAATAATTGCACGTGCGAGTCTAATCATATCATAAGTGGTAAAGAAATCACAAATGTCAAGTTTGAGGTTCTATGTAAGTACAATTTTATGATTTCTTTACTCATATTACTAGAATGTAACATTTTCAAATTGTAGTATTTGCAACCATTAAAACTTACTAAAGTTTGCTTTTATGTTCAAACCGACTAGAACTGTGTAAAAATGGGGAAAAGGGTGTGTATTGCTGATTGATCAATGAAAATATTTTAAACAAATAAACCGTTATTAAATAGGCAAGCATTTATCCGACATAATCACAGTTCGCGGTCGATTTATAGCAGCTTTCCACACAAATGTAACAGGGCAGCTATGATTGGCTTATCTTATTCAACATCCACATATGGGTGGATATCGAATCACTTACTGTAAAGTCAATCAACAATGTTGTATTGGTATTTTCAGTCTAGTGAAACAAACTGAAATTAATAGAAATCAACGAAGATTCGTTAGAAAACTCTATAGTTTAAAGTGAATGGCTGAAGAAAAATTCTGTTCATAGAAGTTCTTTACTTTCAACCCTTGAAACTTATGAAAACAACAAACGAATAACAAGTAGCATTGTTTGCGTATTACTTAGTGTTGTAAGTTCCTACATGTACGTTCAAGTAAAACAGTTTTGAGGACCATTGATTCTTTTAGTTCCTCCGGATAAAGTACACTTCACAATATCTGGACAAGAACCAGAAGGAGCAACTTATGCGGTCAACAATAAAGAAGATGTATCCCTGATTTGTTTCACCGAGTCTAATCCTAACCCAGACATAATCGTCACAAATGCAAAAAATGAAAGACTGGTATTGTTGAAAAATACGACTATACTTCGCCATACATTACAGAAAGTGTCTTGTGTTGATGCTGGAGAGTATGAGTGTTCTGCAAGAAATGATGTAACAACTGGACACGAAGCAAAGTCCACACTGATTCTTATTGTCAAATGTAAGGTTAAACAGATTTGTTCTTTATTTGTTTGTATTTGTTTGTTTTGGTGGATTTTAAGTCACATCTAATCTGTTATGGTCATGTGGCAACTCTCCATTTTAACTGCTGGTGGTGGAAGACATCGGGTCCCTTCATGCGTTATTTCAGCTGCTAGCAATCATCGAAGTAGAACAGTCGCCTGCCTGATAGCTGGATAAGTTCCTTGTATAAAAGGAAAAAAAAAGCTCCTGACAGGATCAAAATAAGAGCGGCGAGGGGCCAGTACTATTTTACTTCATGATAAAATCTGCCAACAGTAGACGAAATATCAAGCTTAATGTGAAATCATTAGTCATAAAAGTAGTAAAATGTAAACAAAGAAGTATTTGAGCTTCCATAAAAATGTTTTATTCCTATAACTGTACGAATTGACAAAGATTAACAGAAGGAAAGAATGGTTCAAATAATTTGCCAAAAGTTACTTTTAAAACCTACAAATATACATAAAGAATTAAAAGCTTTGTGAATAATTTTGGCAAAATGGACCTTTAATAAATAAGATGACTTTTATCACCTTTAGTGTATGATTTTAGTGCAAACACTTTCAAAGCGGATATCATTTTTAACAAAACAGTTTTAAAACTACTAGCACGTATATCTGGCGTTTTATTTTGATACACATATCTTAGGTCTTCCAAAGCCGGCAACTGACAGCTTAAAAGAAAGCATTATAGCAGTTATTCCGTACACCGACGTAACACTGCAATTCATAGCTAAGAATTATTTTGACGAACAGAACAAAACACAATTCACATGGTACAAACAGAACACGTCATTACATTATGACAGCAGTAAATATATGATACTATCTTATGGATTACAATCCGTCTTAATTATCAGAAATGTTACTCAATCAGATTATGGACAATACCGAGTTGTTGTGAGGAACTCAGTCGGGCAATACATCCATTATTTTGAATTGCACATGAGAGGTAAATCGCTATATAATAGTTTAAACTTGTTAAATGAATATGTAAATATGTTACCGACTTATTTTTCTATTTTACAATGTTTGTTTATGGATAAAAAAATGAATTCGAGCTCGAAAGTAATCCAGTCCTAAAGCTTAGTTATTTTTGTAGGGACTACTTACTGGTTGATTGCATGTCACATTTGAGTTTACTCGGTAAACAGGCCAGAAAATCGTATGTCTAGCTTAGCAGGGAATATGATTGCAAAGTAAAACAATATTTTTGTTTCTTTTACTCTTTGAACATTACAGAACAAGAATCTTCAGTGGATTCCTCTACAAATATGGGAACAACAATTGGTGTTGCTGTTGGTACATTTGTATTCACAATACTTTGTATTGTTTTGGCATTTGTTGGTTACAAATATATCAGGTATTTTTGTTGGGTTTTATGTTTAAAAGTTAACTTTATAGATAGCATCAAACACAATAAAATGGCAAAACAATGTTGTATGCCTTTGTAATACAATCAGGCATCTTTGGTAAAATTAATGTGTGAAATTAGCATACTAATTATGATGTTGCTTACTAAAAATTATGTGTTTGCTAATATTTTGCAAATATTTGAATGATAATATAACAAGAAAAATATCATACATAATTTTATTTAAGGCGAAAACGTAATCTTCAACATCAACATGGTGGGACCCCAGCTACAGGTAAGCGCAATTTATCTTCAAAACAAAGACAAATGACTTTTAGCTTGCGTTTTATTATAACTAGTAGTTTGGGTAAATAAATGTGACAGATAAAACCAAGAAACAACCTTATTTTATTGTTCATTTAAAAAGGTATACGTTGTAATTTATTTAATTTTAATATGTCTGTATCTTTATTAGTGTTTTGAAATGCAACATTTTTTATGTGAATTCATTACACTTTTACCAATATACTTAAGGTAATGCCCCTGAAAGTCAGACAACCCCAACCTATGACTACATTAACCCTAGTACTGATAGCAAAAATGTGTACCAAGAACTTGGTGATACAAGTGAAGAGGGACATGCGTACATGGAAATGCGGAGTGCTAATACAGACGATTCAACACTTAACTATATAAACATGACATTGTAGTATTTAAACATAGTGAATTGTGTACATAATTAATATGAAATTCAAGAGTATTCTGTTTCATGTTAACGTTTGATTTTATTCTAATGTATCAGTAGAACATTATGTAACTATGTGATTTTTGTGTGCGTCCTTAACCTTTTTCTATCTAGTGTGCATTAAATATAGACTATGTTTTGTTTAAGTTGGAAACCATTCAAGAGCTTAATGACGTCTTTCTATTAGTTGAAGAACAATTCTTATACAGAGAAAAAACTATTTTAATTTGTTGAAATTCATGAACAGTCTAAAAATATATGATGAATAAAATTCTGTTAAATATATTAGGGACAAGTCTTGAAGTTAAGATATGTTTTCAGTGATATTCTGTAGATATTGTTTAATAAGATATTGTTTCAATTCCATTTACAAATTGCATTAAAAAGAAAAAAATACCACATTTACAGTTCAAGTTTGCTTTTTCTCCAGTTCATTTAGCATGTTGGTATTTTTAAGGAAGCTTTATTACTATTCAATACATCATTTGCAAATCAATGAAATTAAGCTTTAACTAATAAAGATAATATGCAAAATAAACAAAAATGGTGTTCGGTCGTTCGCATAAATGACATCTGTTTACCAAATTTCCATTATGTCTTTTATTCTGAAAGTTTTTAGTTATTAATAAATATACAAATGTATCTCATTTGCAATGCACTTTGCTCAGATATTCGCAAACATAAACTTGAGATAAAACCATAACGTTATTTTGTTTATTGAAAAATCCGCGAATGTTTTAAAGCCTTGGTTTAAGAGATAATCCGAATTAGTTCAAGATTATACTTTCTTTATATGAGAAATGTAGTAATTTAATATTTAAGGACAAGCTCTTTTGATTATTAGAAATGATAACATTTATAAATGTGTATCTAACCATTTGGATGTTACCTCGTCGTACAGATTCAGTTCACAGTCTAAACAAAACAATCTATACAAAAGGCCGACTTATTTCTCTGTCCCTTTGTTGTTTGACAACACCAAAAATATTTAGGTGTTAGCAATTAATTCCATTGACAAAATAGTCAAATATATAGTATTGACACAAGCCTGATCCTTACCTAAATTAGTATTGGCTTAGACTCTCTGTTATGCAAGTTGTTACAAATTGTGAAAAAGTAAGTCTTTATACGGCTAAAAATTAAAAAAAAGTTTAATCTTGGCATTGTATAGTCATAATGAATAATCAAACAATTATAAATTTATTTAATATTATATTCATGGGGTATTAACATTTTCCAGATACTTATGTTTGACAGAACTTTTTCTGTTGTTTACAAGTTAAATGTCTTATTTAAGTCACATTATACCTCAGAAACACGTTTATTGTTCCTTCTTTAGAAAGGGGAATGATGAAGTTAAAACGTTCAAATATTTGTTTAAAAGAATACTAAATGCTTATGACGTACAAAAAGTAGCGCTGAATGTGCATTTAATTGTCATAAGTGTTATTTCTACTTCCATACAAAATACTAAATAACTTTTATTGTAATATTGCCAAAAGGCAACAGATGCAAAATATGGTCTAGTGGGCAACTGTTTTAAAACTATGACAGGACCCAAAATAAATGGTTTTGTTGAATAAAGTAAAAGCATATTTGGGGCATAATGGGTCTTTGGAAGAATCAAATGTTACATAACCAAGGCGTATACATAATGAGAAAATATATATTAAATGTTGTCAGAAATTACAGGTTTTGGTGTCGATGCGACACAAAATGCCATGTATGCCGTTTAAGGTTACACGTCCGGCTCTTCATAATTAGTAACGGAAGGTTCATTATAAACATTGGTTTCTCTTCTGTGTTCATCCAAGTCTGTATATTCGGGTGAGACATTGTTTCCAGCCGTAGTTGAATGTTGCAGTTCTACAGCATTACCTAAAAATTAAAACATTTCTGTAAAGCAGACCAATAAATATTAAACAGTAAATTTTACAGGAGGGACTGTAATAGGTCAAAACAGATTACTCTGGTGACAATTGTTACGATAATTATAGACAGAAATTTGCATAATATATCTGGAAATAAAATCCAAACTAAATTAAGGTACTAATGGAATTTGATATGTTAAGGCACAAGTACCGTTGACAGATGCACAGTTTCATTGTTGACAAATTACATTAACTCTTGAATTAAATGATTGAATGTTATTTACCTGGATCATTGCTTTTACAACGTACGCACCTCATTTTCCTGCAAATAATGACAGGAAGTATTATATAAGTACGAAAGATATACAAATATTGACAATTAAGCAAGTGAATATGATGTGTTACAGCTCACAAAATTAATATTGACCACACCGACGCGATAACATAAAGTAAACATGACACCATGTCCAGCTACTTAAAAGTCCATATCCGTTTCATTATATAAATTGTTTCATAAATATATTTTACATGGCTTATAATATCTGCTTTTGAAAATGGCGCAAATCAATTCAAACCAACTTTATTACTTTCATTTATACTTATATTCGAAACATTACTTAATAATATAAAAGAAGGACGCTGCCGAAAATAGTCTTCGTTGACTTCTTTTTACTTGCTCAATTCATGTTTTTTTCCTTACTTAAACAAAATTGTCATTGTCATGTATGCATTGTACCAAAAGATTAGAAAATAACATCTGCAACTTAACCATTTTTTACTTCGGCCGAATATCTTCTTCAAATATGTTTTTGTTATATACATGAACATGCGTATGGTTACATGTATAGACGAGACTCTTATAAAACAAACATATATAAATAAATGAATATATTTATTCATATTTGACCAATATCGGTAACGGACACACAAACATCTTTTCTTAAAGGAACTCAGAAATAATAATAATAATAATAAAGCAACGATTTCCTGAGCAAGTCAGACTATTACACAAAAGAGTTATTAAAATTTCAAATTTAACCCAACAAACCGGGCAGTAAGTTATCAACACTAGTTAAAATTATTTCCGTATTTATAATATGAAATAAAAATCATTCAATTTGGTATTTTGCATCATCCATCTCAGTGTGCGTGTGATTGAACTTTTATAAATGCACATAAAAGTAATCAGTGTCGTAAAAAAACGGGTCGCTTCAATAAGACAGCTTTTTTTAAAAAAGAGAATTTGACAAATTTTAAAAAGCATTCTGAAAAAAATAATCCAAGATAGCAATGAAAAAGGTAAATAGTTGTTGAAAATCGCAGGATCTGTTTAAATGTGTTTATCAATAAAAAGGAAATTGAAGGCTGAAATGAAAAGACAAGTGACTTTAAAGTCATCGATATAAGCTGCTACAGTATTATTTTCACATTTTAAATTAAAAGTGCTTTCTGGCATAGATAAAATTTGAAGATTCGAATAAGCAATAAACGGTTGGAATACCATCGAAAATGAAATTACTTACTTGAACAATCGAAATCCGATCAAAACAAAAGCTACTATTGTAAGTGTTGTGATAAATGTACCGATTCCAACCACAACACATAATCCATTGTTTGACGTATGTCTAATCTCAATGTCTGCGGAAATGTCAACATAATATTACTAAAACTTAATGTTTATTATAAGTGAAGGTGATCAATTATTTACCTGAATATATCTGTCTGTATTAAAGGCATATGTCACACGCACAAATACATCAAGTCACAAAAGGCTTTGCTTAAGTCGAGATTGAATGACGTTCCTGGCCTTATCGTTGAATATCATTATGTAGTAGTATTATTTCAGTATGATGTATTATACAGTTATTATATGCGTGTTTGTGGACTGTTGCCCCAAGATATCAGGGATGACATTTGGAACTGTTGCCAGAAGCTAAAGGACGAGGGCAACAGCTCCAAATGTCATCCTTGATACCGATGGACAACAGTTTACACACACCCGTGAAATAACTGTTTTATTATAAAATGCTTTGCAATCAAACTACAATATATATTGCAACAACATACAAATAATAATTTACATGGGTGTAACAGTTAAAAATGTTGACCGGTCAACAGTTCATTTCATCATTGCGCATGCACAGGATTTTCTGGCTTTAATTAAACAGTTGTAAATAAGGAATTAGAAGACATAAGATAATAATATACATGTATAATAGTAGTAATTCAATGTAACAATGTAATTAATAACACGATAATTATAATAGTATAGAAGATCAAATGACCATACGATAATGATAATGGTTATTAAATATTACTTTGTCTTTGTTATATTATTTTTACATATATTTTAAGTAACTGAGTACAGCAAATAAAAAGTACAAATGCATATTGCGCTAACTGTGATAGCTTTATGTAGCCAATCAGAAAGTTAAGTTATTTTCCTATTCACTGAGATAAACTGTTAAATTATTCAATAAATAATATGATCTGAGCTAGGACCTTTGAATGAAAGGGCGGCGTTAATGTTGTATATAAAGTTTTATATTACATACATTAAAATTGTAATGTAAATTTATCATTGAGTAAATGCATATACTCAAAGGCTGAGAAAATCATAAATGACCGATTTGGACAGTGGCAGAGAACAATTTGTTTAGCATTATTATATTTGTTTTTGAGAATATCATAAATATCGTAGTTTTTCAATTGATCGGCTTCTTTTACCTAACAAGAAAATATAAATATTGAATCTGATTAGGTTGTGAGGTGCTTTGCATTTTTGAATTTGTAAAACAGATAATTTTACCTGCTACATTTACAGTACAAACTTTCAAAATGATGTAATTTCATAATCAATATGAAGTGTGATATCTCGGACGTATTCGTGCAATCATAATATTTCGATAAACAAAGAATTAAATTTGGCCTAATACCTCTTGTTTTAAATCTTAGGTTAAGCGCCATTGACTTCCCTATTGAATTCACTGAAAACAATTCAGAACAGTACAACGAATCACGGTATAAGTCAGTTATGGTATAATTTATTGTTCTGTCACCGTCATCATGTATGCTTCTAACCGTCCAATTCTTCTCTACTTCAAGTTTGTATCTCACAATAAACGTTTGTCTTGGGCCGCCATCATATCCAGGTTTCCATTGAAGGATTGTGGACGTGTCTGTAACATACTCTGGCAAAATTGTAAACTGTGTAGGCGGGTCAGGCGTTGCTGCAAAATGTATTGTTTACATGTTTTAAAATCAATTTGTATTTTATTGGATTTGAAAATAGTATGTGTAGCATATGTAAACCCGACCAGTAATTAAAACACACTGTGACGATTTAGATGTATTTTATATAATTACATCATTTAAATGTTAAATGTTATAAGATAAGTTGTTCCCTTTGTATCTTTTGTCTTGTATCTAAACATTTGATATGGTAACGCGTAAAAGCTGTGTTTTGCGATATTTATAACATTTTAAAAGGACCTTCAATATTTTGACCCAAAAGGTCATTACAAAGCAAATGGTTTGAAACGTTAATAGTTTTAGCGGATTAATTGACCTCTGCTACGCAATGTTAATAAGTGACCTTATTTCCTCTGTTAATCAAAAATTGTAAATACCAAAATAAACTAAACTAATAAACAAGTTGTTTAAGGCAATTGTATGACTGTCTTTATTTAAAGACTTCCAATTTCCTGTCTTACGATTGCGTGTCAACATTGACCTTGATTCTAGGCGGTATGGATAAAAATAATAGTAATAAAATTAACAATACAACGTGACATTCTTTTACAATACTTATTCATTACATAAACTCCGACATAAAACATATATATACCATTTGCTTTCAGAAGATAATATTGTACTAATTGGCCAACTGTATTATTTATCATCAGCTTGTAGCTTCCATAATCGTCTTTGGCAATGTCGCTTATAGTAAGACTGGAATAAAGGCCTAGTGTTTTGATTTCGTATTTCTTGTCATTTATCAATATCTTCGAGGAAAAGACGCATAGTTTAAACCATTTGAAAACCGGCATCGGGTATGCAAACGCTTTGAATTTAAATGTAACGGCTACATGTTCTGCACTGGAAATAGTTGTTTTCAGGTCAAAGTCTGGTATTAAAAGTGGTGTACCTGAAATATCAGAAAAAAGTCCTAAACATATATGAGGGCTCAGTGAGAACAAATATTCTACAAAATATTAACGATAACAATTAAGGTAACATATTTAACTTATTATATATGATTACACTGCAATATAATTTTCAAAACTAATTTTAAATTAAAAGTACCAACTTACTTATGGCACTACATATAGCCATGGAAAAATCCGACATTATATTATGAACCAGATATAAACTGTCTTGATGGCAGATTTAGTAGATGTTAACTTAAATTTAATATTTAGTTCCGACATTCAACAACATCTTTTAATTAAAAAGAATGTTATGCAATCCCTATTACTATGATCAAATGAAAAAAACCCTTATCACCTAAACGACCGTTTAACAATTTTTTACTCAATCCTATGAAAGGTCTACTTTGTTATGAATTGTATTGAAACCGTGTAAAGAAGTATAACTTACATCTAACACGTAAAGTCAGTTCTTCCATAGATGGTTTGTTATTGTATTTGTTATGTGCTTAACATTTATAAACGCCAGCATCAAAACATGATTCAACTCTATGTGTATAAATCAAGCCTTTGGATACATTGTGCCACAATTCTTGCTCTTTAAACGACAAGGAAATGGACGATACTGGATTACTGTCAACACTGCAGACAAAATTCTCCCATTTCTTTTCTTTTCCCGTAACAATGAACTGTAATATTCTACTTTGATCTGTAAAATGAATATACAATAAAATATGAAAACAAAAACAATTAAGGAAAACAAAACCTCTTCATTCGCACGAGGACTCACGCGGATACACTTGCTCATATCATACTTGTCATAAGATAATCAAATGATTTTTTAGTAGAGGAAACAATTTGGTAACGTTTTTGTTTCATGAAATGTAGTTAAAACGGAAATATTTTGAGAATAGATTCGCCGAAAATCGTTTGTAAATTTTAAGACGGAGACTTTTCTTTACATTTAACTAATGAAACTATTTTTTTCTAATTGAAAATAATCGATTTACATAATACATCTATATCAAGAATCGCCCTGGATGCTGCTTTCTTTTTGTCATATTTTGGGAAACTTTGGATGACGTTTGCTGCAGTACATTCATACAATCCTATGCTTGCCTTTGTTATATTTGTAAATGTTAAGTTAGGAGAATTCACGTCATTCGTAATATTCCATGTGCATGTTGGGGGAGGATCGCCATCGGATCTACATGTAACAGTAAAACTGCTTCCTTCTTTAACAATTAGTTTATTATTATCTTGTAATACACCACCTTTGGCAAATTCATTTTGTGCAATGAATTGAAAGTGCGATTTACCGGGAGGATCTGAAAATGAAAATGTGTAGGGAGGGAACTTCACAAAAAGTAATAAATATGTTGAAAATAACCATTTACCATTTAAACTTTTAAAATAAAATGACCATTCGTCTACAATGATAATTTAAGTCTTCCTAAGCAAGTCATGAACTGCGCCTCTGAGAAATATTGAATCATTAAATAATTAAGATTTTTGTTCTATGTTATACAATCACATGAATTCGAGTCATTTTCTTCAGATGAAACAGCTATAATTTACTTAAAGTGAATTAAAGTAAATTATTAAAAATTGTATTCCTTGGTCATTAGATACAAAGTTACGAAATCAACTTTGTAGTCACTCATGATTAAATTGTATCATTCTGCAACATTTGTGCATAGATAAAAACATCTTTTTGTTTTGCATGCAACGACGTAGTACTGAATTTTTCATCAGCAGAACAAAAATATCATATATTTTATCGGAGACTACAGAACTATTGTACTTAAATATCTGCATAAAAACAGAATAGCATAAACAATATTCTGATGTGTTACAAATTGAACAAACACAATATGACCTTTACCGTGTTGATGCGACGTAAAACCAAACAAAAAAGTTTCGCAAGCGTACGTCTTATTACACAGTTCAAACTTAATTATTATTTTTATTGAATTCAATGTAATTAAATCTTTGATTGATTATAATTTGCCTATATTACATGTATGAACTTATATGTTGTTTGTTTTAGATATAAACGAAACAGCATATATAAAAACAAACTTACATTGGACATGAAGTGTAACTTCCCTTCTTGTTATATTTGATATCTTATTCGTCGCTTCGCAAATTATTCGGGTATCATTGTCCCGGCGTAGCGGTCTCAAATCAATGCTGCTTTGAGATATTATCATGCGATTATCTAGTTCAGAAATATTGTATACCGCAGTTTGTGTCAAATCTGTCTTGATGCCTTTCTTAGATAATTGTGTCCACGTAATACTTGTAGCAGGTCGTCCTTCAGATGTCATACACGTAAATGTAGTTGTAATATTTTCTTCTACTGTTACATCATTTTCTAAAACGTTTTTGATTTTCACGTACTTAATAGGAACTGAAAAGTAAAAACGTTTATATTGAATAAAACGTCGTAGACTAAATTTCAGTTATATGAATGGCTTATTTAATATGTATATGAAGTATAACAAACGGTATAAACACAGAAAACGTATAGGAAAAATAGACATTGCGAAAGGAGAAGCTATTAGACATTTCTTAATCGCACTGATTTTGTCTATGTTTGATTTAAATGCATGCGTTTGCTTTGAACATATTCTTCTATATATCAGATCGTCTTTAGATAATACACTTGATATTCAAAAACTTATCACTAATATATTGAAATCTTATTTAAATTCATTTGTATTCATATTTTGCCATAATTTATATGGTTTTATTAAAATCAAATGGATATAATATTAGCAGTGCCGTCTCAAAATTAGATCATGATTAAAATTTTAACAATAGAAATCTTAAATTCCAATGAGGTCTACTTTGTTTTTTTGTTGTTTTTTTGTTCGTTTTATTTCCTCATACTTTGTAACAAATTTTTAATAAGTTGGAGCTATGTTAATGTTAAAAGCCATAGAGCCATACATAATATTATATGAATTAGGTCAATATTGCCAATTGAAAATAGCATACAGAATTTTTATATGTTTTATACATGTTATATGAGCGTTGTCGGCTTCAAAAAGATTGGTTAATGGTATAAAATTGAATACTCTTCATACATATATTAACGAAGTTATGTAAAGTGGTATTTCTTGTTTACATAAATAAATGCATTTGCCCTTACCATGAACAAGACATTAGTCGATGAATGCATACAACAAATACGTGCGCATATACAATTTTACGTGCAAGTATCCACACATTGTATAACTTTATCATGTGTCAATATCAAGATGGAATTAAATGGCACACACTGTTATATTATAATGACACTTTCCTTTTACATTTGTGAAAATGTATATTTTCAAGAAGTTTGCTCTTTTTGATAACACATTTGTTTTGTATGTTGGTATATATATACCAGTCGTATGCTAAGGAATCTATGATAATATTTATATAGTTGTACGCTATGTTTTTAAATATATAAATTATTAAACTTGATAAGAACATATTTTTTTTACCATAAACACTGATGTAAGCTAAATTACTCTTCACAAATCCATAGAGACAGTACCATCTGTCGCCATGATTACTTCGATTTACACGCTTTATAATGACATTGAAAGTACCATTACTATAACAACTTGTTTCATAGTATTGTGTGTCGCGAAAAAAACCATCTGGTATACACACTGCTTCTTTCCGAAATGATAAGTACGAAATCTGCTGTGGTGAACTCAAGTTTGTCCATTTTGTTAATTTAGCGTTTTTAGGAGCATTACACGATAACTTCAAACTTGTGTTTTCCATAACATTAACCAGATCTTGTGAAAGAATCAGTTCTGGGGATGCACAATCTGAAATATCAATTTAAAAGTATTGACATACAATTATGACAGTTTTGTAACCTATAGACCTATAACAAAACACGATTTGCGATACGTAAAAAAGTACTTTAAACAAACCTTACATTTTGTTGTCCAAACAAGCAGTAGCGCTAGCCAAAACATGTTTTACTCAACCTAAAACAAACAAAAAATAATGAGATAAAATCCAAACTCCTCTATCGTTATAAAAATGCTAAATTGTGCAAATTAAAAAAAAAGAAAAAAAAGAAATAATAATTATGATAATAATAATAAAATAAATAAATAACAAATGAAAACTGAAGCATTTTTCCCTTATATTATATAAAGAAAATATTCTACTGAAAATGAGGTTATGTAAATCATTTGTATATGTAAATTATGTCAATTGAGCAAATGCACTAAAAACTTTGAATCGTTTTAGTCTTGAAATTAATTTTCTGAATCACAAACCCTGAAGTTGACTACTCTTTGATATAACACAATATTACAAAATTTATAAATCCTACTATACTAATCTAGTCTAGAACTGCCTCACGCTTCAATAAATCACTTACATTCAATTATATTCTTATTCAACATACAGTGTAATGCACGAAAACAAACAGAATAGCATTCAGACCTAGGCAGAGTATCATTTCAATTGTCGTTAAATAAAAATGTCCAATAAGGTCGAGGAAATTATTAACTGGAGAAAAGTAATTGTATTCAGTCTGGTTAGGCTTAATCAGTCAGCTTCAATGTTTCTACTAAAACAGTAGTATATAATAAATTTCCTTTTTACATCATTTATGAAGGAAGATAAATTATTTCCGTTTTTATTATTAGTTTCTGTAAGATCTAAGCATTTGATAGTTCGTTTCATTTTTGCTAAAATACAACAATGTTACATGTTAGTCATGAACTGGTCAAGCACATACTTGTTTATTTCATTTCACTTAAAATAAATCATAACGTGACAACAAAAATCACGAAATCTCAAACCTTCGGAATGTTATAGAAAGAAAAACAATAGACGTACAATTCATTTCTTTGTAGGAGATGCATTTTCAGTTTGACTTAACATGTTCTCTAAGGTCACATTCTTGTTTTTCTCCGAAGAAATAAAACAAAATTTATCAATTTAGACTTTACAAACAAAATATCAATTTCAATTTCTTCTCTAATAACCTAAGATGGAAACATTGAATACAAAATTTGTATCAATTTAAGATATGAAACATCGCACTTAACAACATAATTATTTTTCATCTTCATCTCTCATTACTATGAAAAATGTGTGTATAGGATAATTTCATATTTTACTATGTCACATTAAGAATATAATGAATAAGTTATATCATATATATTTAAGCAATTTTATTCTGTCTTGTAATCATTATCGGTTCTCCTGTGTGTCTTATTCAGTAATGTTGATAATTGTTATTGCATTTTGTTTTGCATGGACATGACACTATACTATTATTAACTAGTGAGCCATGGAAATGACCGCATTTTACCAGTGAAAATCATATCACATTCAATGAATCGTTTGTCAATAATTGTATAATGATGTATTGTCATTGGATATCAGCCTGGTTTTATTTTTAGATTGGAAAAATCCAATTCAGCAAGCGAAATTGATACTCCACCCAGTGAATATGATATGTAACTTGGTCTGTTGACAATAGATTAGATATCAGCTATATTAGATGATATTATAATTACGTTTAATAGTGTTGTAGCAAATCATATTTCAGATAAAACAGTAATTACATACGTTCCACAGACAATTTAATCACTTCTAGAGCTGCTATTTTCAAGTTTGTTGACCGTCAGCAAAAGAGCTCTATCCAGATAAATCGCCAAGTTTACTGCTTAAAACTGAATTGAAAGTGTTTAATTCATCTCCGATAATTTGAGCGAAAATCGATGCAACGATTTAAATCTTTGTGTAATTTTTCACAATAATATTTGTAGAATAATTATTACAAAAAATTGAGTGAGGCAAACGATCTTAAATTTTAGACTAAGATCAAATTGAATATTATTATAAAAAATAATGATAAATAAATAAATAAATAAAAATATTATCAGTTTTGTCCACTAAAAAAAGGAAAAAAGATCAAAAACAACCTCATTGGAGTCCCTTCAATCAATCATCCAATCAGTATAATATTACATCATAATACCAATTAAACATTTGACATTATATAAATAACACATGGGTTTGTGGGTAACAGTAAAAATATCATCCCAAGGAAAATAACGCCTCAGGTTACAGTTATTTTACGAGGGATGATATTTTTACTGTTACTCACAAACCCATGTGTTATTTATTTTACTACCCCGAACAATAACTGTGATGATTTTTTATGATGATTTAATTTTTGTTTTCTTTAAAAAATAGACCATGTGGCCAGGTTTTATGTTGTTACCCTGTAACAGTACACATTTCTTGTTCACATGGTACACTTGCATTAACAGTATAAATAATTGCCAGTGGCCTATGGAAAATTATCATTATACAAAAAGTCAGGGGTAATAAAACAAAATGATGCGTGTTTGTTTGATTGGCACACCGACAACGTATAGGTCATATAGCGCCGTTCAAGCTTTACTGGAGAGGGAATGTTCAGGTGCCCTTCCGTGCATTATTTCAACTGAGAGGAACCTGCGACGTTCTGTCAACTAGCTGTACATCTTCCTCATATGCAAGAATCTAAAGTCCCAGTCAGGATTCTAACCACAACTGTGAGGGGCAAGTGGTATAACAAAATGAAAGAAGTGAAAATCATTAATTAAAGAATTCCCACCATGGTTATTTGAAAGTAGAACTGTACATTTAAATTATAGCATTTACCTTATTTGATGTACTTTTCCATTACGTTTGAATTTAAATGATAATTGGAATTATTCATACATGTGACATTTTTCCTTTTTTATATACCTTAATGAACAAATAAAACACATTAAACATATTACATGTACTGTATACGCTTTAAAAAGACGTACGACTTATGATAGATTTAAAGAATAACATTTTTCTGGTGTATTTTCTTCCTGTTTAAGAAAGTTTTCTTTTATAACAAAGAACAAGTCTCGCCAAACCAGAGTATTTTGATACCCGGCTTACTTTTGTATGCGTAAACCTGCATTATATTTATGTTTTCCCTTCCCTTGGTTTCAATAGTGGTCGCTAAAATCATATTATATTATGTTTGTTATAATGCTAAAATACTATAAACACAAACGGGAACATTAATCGTACTTGAACATCCTACTTATTACTGAAAGCAGGGCTAACAATGGCATGGAGTTATATGTAACTGTAAACTGTAAATAGTATATAATATAATATAATCCATAATTTTAGATATACTAGAATGTTTGGATCCACAATTCTAAATAATATAGTATATTAGATAATGAAAAGAACCAAAAGGAAGTAGACCAGGTCAAACTATTGTTGCACAGCGTAACTACGTGTTTTATATTCTTAAATATCTGATTTGTATAACGTGTTACTTCACCTTTCATGTGTTTATTTAAAAGGAGGAAGTTATTAAATCATGTAAACTCTAACATTGTATTTTTTATACGTATCCTTTTTCGTATCAAATTTTTAAACCTTGGTTAAAGGATGTACACATAACTTTAGTATGAACATGTTTTATTTCAAGTGGGCGTGCCTCGTAGCATTTGGCTTACATCAAGGTAAATAAAACAAACTGATATACATATCAAGAATTTAATCAAGTATACGCATTAATTTTAAGATTAAGATGAGAATTATTTAACTCAAAAGTATAATGGATATTTTCATGTGAGAACCATGAGGTTGCTTTTCTAAAAAAAATATGGCAGCTTTGTGTTAGCAATTTTGTTTTGATAGTGCGAGTGAAAGAATGTTATTTTTATTAAGTATTGTAAAAGTAACTATGTGTATTGAGTTTTATATGTTTCACCTTTCGAAAACTGTAAATTTTCAACTAATAAGGTGTAAAATAAAATATTTAAAAGTCTCTTTAAACTAAAGAGTGTTTTGTAAATACAGGTAATGCTTCCAGTACGGTAATATATCCAGAAATTGCAGACGAAAAATTGAACAGTAATGTGACTTTTAGATGTACACATAGTGGTCAAGGATTTAGAATTCGTTGGAAGACAAACAGCTGGGATAGCATATGTTCATTTGAATTGAATCAGTGTCCTTCATCGACGTTATTTACAGACAAAGGGTATAACTGCACATGCGAAAAAGACGGATTAAATGGAACAAACGCTGTTCTGCATATATCAAACATAACAGCGGCCTATCACAACACATCTTGGACATGTGAAGTGATATATATGCACTATACTGAGAGAGTAAGCGCATCGTTGTTAGTTAAAGGTAAATTATATAAAAACAGTTATTGCATTACTTAATTAATCTGATATTTATATAATATATAAGAACAAATTCCCGATATTACTTCTTTCTGCTAGCAGACCTTGCGATTAAAAACAGAATTATATATGCATGAAATTTCTCTCATCATATTAAAATATTTATATTGTCACTTATGTGTGAGTAAAAATATTGTTCATAAAAATAGATCAATCTAGGACATTTCATGTTCCTTTTTATCTTTTTATCATAATTCTTATCTTGATCTTAAGTATACATTTGTAACTTGATATTTGTCACCTGTATTGTTTGTACTATCACCTATTACAATACATAAATACTAAAGAGAAAAGGTGTAAAGTAATATTTTTGCCCATCAAACCGTAAATGGTGAGTGAACATGTACAAATAAAAGAAAACATTTTGCCATAATTGTGTTTTATATTTTACTATAAAAAATCATCAATAATACATACGACCTACATACATTTATTTAAATATTGTTCAGAATGTTTCGGTTACGCTGAAAAGAGTAATTATAATTTGCAGATTAAATACAGATTTTATATTGTATCGCAATCTTTTTTCATTATTGGTCAATTACCATTATAATAGCCAATCTTTTGAAATATATTATTTATTCAAATCAACTAGACAGCAAAAAAAGAAAGAAAAAATGTCATTTTAAATGTATTTGGTACGTGAATATAATGTTTACGGATTTTGTTATCATAGAGTTAAAACTCGAAAGCAAAATGTGTTAATTATTGATCATGAACATTTGTTCCGAAACAGAACTTGATTTATAGATTCTTCAAATGACATAATTCGCCTCTTGTCATTTATAACAATTAAATTGTAATCTCAAAATTAAGTGTTTTAACAAATTAATTTAAAGCTTTATACAATGTTTATATGATTAATTTCAGTACCTGTTGTGAAAATAAATATGACTCCATCTGTAGACGTTATGACAGTTATCGAACATTCTAAAATCCAGCTGAATTGTACCACATCATTTTCGCGCCCGATTCCCAAGGTTAATTGGATTATTGCACAGACTGATGGTGAAGGAATCATTAACATCCCAGAAAATGATGTAGACTTCAACAACGAAAATGGCTTTACGTCTGTCACAAGCATGTTTGATTACTTACCAAATAGAACAGTAAATGGGTGGAAAGTGTACTGCACTGTGTCCATAACTGAAATACAATTACAAGAAATCCGATCTTCTCACGTTTTACTTAATGTCACATGTAAAATTTCTTTTGTTGTTTTCTTATGATATAAAATATTTAACTCCGATTCTTTATATTAATGATTCGTTATTCAGCAGTCGTCAAGTTGACCTTTCTTGGACGTTAAAAAAGGCATATACAATTGATAAATATTAATTATATAACATGTATTAATATTGTATATTAATCTATTACATTGAACAAGAAACCAAACATGATTAACCTTCTTATTTTCTTATCAAGAACACTATAAGTTTAATTAGATATGGGAATACATAGACATTGATTTTTATTGTCATACATAGATTCATGGCATCGTTATCTAAATTGCTAATTAGTTCATAATGTTCTAATTTTTGTTCTGTATACTCATAGATCCGCCATGGATCGACCCAATAGAGGACAGTTTTGTCGCTGAAGGATCTGCATTTAATTTTACATGTCCAGTTCATCACGGAAATCCAGATAATACATTTGTGGGTTGGACAAGGGATGGTGACAATAGAAACTGGACATCACAAAATGCATTTATAAATAACATCACAAAGTATGATGATATGAATTACAACTGCACAGCGTATAATATCATGTCATCATCTAATGACAACTACACAGTGCAAGGGATAACAATTCAAATATTCCATCTGAATGTCGAGTGTACGTTCAAAATGTATTTGTTTTATATAAAGACTTGATATCCAATCATAGTGTTATATTACGGCTCCTTTTATACATTAATACATATCTAATTAGTTAATGCTATACAATCGCTTGTTAATTAAATCTTTTTGTTGATAAGATGAATATTCGAATGGCAAGAATAACTGTATAAAAAAGTAAACGAAAATATCTAATTAATGCAATAGGAAAAGTAAAATTATAATCAATCATATACATTTGTTCCGGATATGAGATATAAAGATATAAATAATAATGATCCTTAAATGTTTCAGACAAAGCGGATGTTTACGACTTTTACGTTGATGGATATCTCTCGGACAAGAACATAACAGTCAAAGAAGGTGACAATGTCACATTTCTTTGTTATGTTGATAGTAAACCTTTATCTAATACAACTATAACAATACGACACAAACAGGAAGAATACATGACAATAGGAAAAGCCAACATTAGCTACACTCGTTGGTATGTTAACTGTTTTGATGCAGGAGAATATGTGTGTAGTGTGAGGAACAAACACAATATTGAGGAAAGATCATCACAGATACTGTACATTGAAGTCATATGTAAGATATTTTATTTGTTTATAGATCTGTATCAAGTATCTAAATAACAGTACAAAACCGTTAACAAACCTAAAAACCAACCATTTCAGTTTTATTTGGAATAGATCGTTCTTTTTAATGATAGGTTTTAAAAGTTCATACAAAATTTATAGCGAAGCATATGTCTATAGGCATTTCATTTTCTGTAATATTTAGAGTTTGTTTAAGGTTCTCCGATGTCAAATCCATTGGAACCAGTAGCTTACAATATAACGACTCGAGGAAATGATCCAGCAGTCTTCAGTTATTCATGCTTAGCATACCCATTACCAACAATTGTGGTTTGGAGGAAATTTAACGGCTCAGATTCGACATCACTCACTACCGACAGCGACATTAAAATCACACAATTAGACTTAAATTTTAGTTTGACAATAAAGAATGTCTTGAGGACTGATATTGGTCTGTATAAATTGACGATTGGAAACAAAGTCGGTTCGATTGAGCAGATCTTTACACTTGAAATAGAAGGTAATTTTTATCAGAATTAGGCAATAGCTGAATGGAATCGGAAACATTATTCAATAGAGTAATAAATATACTTTTAAAAAGACATATATCATTTAGGGTATGTAACCTGTTTTGTTCAATGACCTTACAGGTATTCCCAACCACAAAGCAAACAATTTCATTAGTATGGAATATTTCGAAGACGCTTTGTTGACAAACAAAAAAAAAAAAAAAAGAAAAAAAAAACGGAAAAAAAAAACAACTTCTTTAATCAATGTACACTAATATACATAATTATGATGTTCTTTTAACTCAAACTTTTATTTCAATGCTCAGCTTTACTTTCATCGATTGTAAACCACGAGTTATTTGTAAAATGAAAGTGACAGCTGTTCTTTTTATAGATAAACCAGATCCTCCGTCAGGATTCCATGCTATTGCAGAATTGATAACTGAATCGACTATCGCAGTTCAGTGGCTCCCTTCATTTAACGGCGGAAGACCCCAACACTTCGTATTAAATTACTCAAAAAGTGGACTTGATTGGATAATGAGGGTTGTTCCAAGTAGCGGAGATGCTCTTTATAATCTAACACTGAAGGGTCTCTCTGGTGGAACATTTTATCGGCTGTTGCTTTACTCAGAAAACGTAATTGGGAGATCTAAACTGTCCGACGTTCTCTATATTCAGACAAAATGTATGTTGATTAGACAATTATGATGCACGAATACTATGTTTCATATAGATATTTCTGCATAAATTTATTTGAAATATCTATCCCATATTTTTGTTTGGTTTGGTTTTTTGGCGCACCAATACAATTTAGGTCATATGGCGCCGAAACAGGAAATAGAATTTGGCTAAACTCGGATGTTCAAATCAACATCACCTGCTGAAGTTAAGATATGCATAGGCTCTATTAATTCAAACCCATTAAGTCGCCTCTATCGATCACGGTGGCTGCAACTACGATGCCTCGATCAGAAATGGCATACCTCGGCCACACTTGGGTTGATCCCACTTAATTTGTGATAACTTGTTTTGCTATTTTCTTGATGTACTTATTATTATCTTCATGTAAATAGTTTTTCCTAGAAGTTCAGAACAATTATTTACCGTATCAGTGTTGAAGTATTTACAAAAGGTGTAAATGTTATTGTTTTATAACGTTTATTACACTTGTTTATTATAGTGTCACCCGTAAAAGAGAGCGACTTTAGTGTAGTAGGGATTGCAATTGGAAGTGGAATTGGCGTGGGGTTTTCTTCTCTTGGATTTCTTGCTGGCGTATGGATATTTAAAAAGAGGTGATCGTTTCTTTTTGTCTTATCTAGCCATAAATGAAAACGTTGTTTCTTTCTTTTTTGGCTCACACGCGTTAGTATTTTAACAAGGAAGTATAAGGTCGTATTGATTTTGAAAGACGCTATACACATTTTTAAAAAACGCTGTGTTTCGTTTTCAAATACTTGAAGTGCATACTACATTATGCTCATATTTCTATAGTCAAGTTGAGCTGAATTGACTTTATATTTAAAAAGATTGACTGTTTAAATGGTGTTTGACCAAAAGTTTACATCCGAAAATGTTTATTATAAAATTTAAAATCTGCCTAAAATATTAAAAGACTGTCCCACTCTTTTTATAAATTGAACGTTACAGGTAAATTCTAGATGATATTTACAAACATTTCGCTTGAATCCGGGGGTTATTTATTGTTTATGCGAAGTAAATTAATAAATCAAAAGGAATTATGGCAAAATGATAATTTATTTTGACTCTCCCCTGTTCACTCACTATATACCTTTAGATGGTCACGTTTTTCTTTTAGATCGAAGCGAAACAAGAATACGGGAGTTTCCTATGTAAACATGAAAAGTAAGCGTGTTTTCTTACTTTTATGATTTAAAGAAAATGTCACTTATGCATTGTTATGGTCAGAAAAGTAACAAAATCTCAGAAACTGAAAAGACTAGATGATTAAAGTTGAAATAAAATTATTTAAAATTCCCCTTCATAGTGTAACAGCAAGAATCTGTTTAAACTAGTCAAACGTCGGATATATGTTGCATATAATTTATATTAGATTCTACTTTTTTTCTTTTATAACTTACATTTTGAAATATTTCACAAATTGTGTTGATGTTAAAGTATTACATATACGGTACAAGTGATTTAATCTAATTATACCAGTTGAAGTTACGAAAGGATAACACAACATCTCGAATTACAATATTGTATAACTGTTTATTTCATTTATAACTTCATCCTTAAGTTTAATCATCACGGTTGTTTCATATATTTTCTTTTAAATATAGACGAGAAAAGAAAACAACAAAAAGAGGAAGACAATGTTTATGATCAGATAGATGTGTATAACAAGGACCAAATAAACAAAGAAACATGCAAGATAGGTAAATGTTAACTCAATAATTTCATATTTTTAAAACAAAATATCATGTTTATAACATCTGTTTTGCCTTATGATATAATATTTGACTATTGATGATTTTATCTTAATTTTTTTAATAAATATATATTATAATTTAATTTTGATTGAACATAATGATCTGCATGAGGAAAACAATATACATTACAATTTGCATCATAAAAAAGATGATTTTTTTTATAATTATGGACCTCTTTATACTGTTCAATTATAAATTATGTTTTGTCATTATAGTAATATTGCTATAACTGCATGCATGTCTTTAACATCGTTTTGGTTAATATACTATTCAGATGAATAGCAACACATAAATAAATTGTTATTTTAGTCTTCCGAATGTAGTATTATCACTGTATATTTTGTAGTTACAGGAGATGACAACGACCATGCTATATATTATCAGAAACTAAAACCAACTGATTTGGACAAGAATCAGTACAATCAATTGCCTAGTATGACTGAAGATATTCCAGATTCCGATGAAGCACATGCATCGTCAATGGAAGGGAATGCAATACTTGAAATTTGCGAATCAACTTACATAAATCTTATTTAAATGAAATACACGTTAAACGTTCAGTATGTGGCATTTATCTAAGGTATAATATATGGACCTCTAAGGATAAGTGATTATTATCTCCGGAAAGCAGACTCCAAATGAATGTAAAAATTGAAAACTTTTGAGATGACAACAAGAATGAGTATTGTACGTTGTCTTTTTTATATGAATAGAAAAACAGTGAAATTATATGTAAAGGTTGGAGATATTTATAGTTTTAATGTATCTTTCGTAATAAAGTCTTCATTTTAAATAATATCGACAAAGTTGGTTTAAACTTAAAAGTAAAAAAAAAATGTATATTTTTTTCTTTTCTGTTTTTTTTTTACTTTCGAAAAGATTTGGGATAGAAATTGCGTAAGGAATTCCTTTTACTTCGAAAACTTGATGTTAGATTAATGTTGAACTTAATGTAATGGTAGCAACAATACGTTTAATAGTATAGCATGTGACCAAAGTAATTAATTTCACAAGAAAATTTGATTATAGCGTGACAAAGTCTTTAATAATTAACTAAGATATAAAATGTAAAAAGTTATTAAAAAACGAAATATCAAAGGTTGTTTGTAGATATATCTAAACCTTTAAATGATCAACTGCACAATTGAACGCTATACTTCCATTTGTGCAATGAACTATTGATGATTGATAAAACCCTAAATATATACAGGTTTAATTACTTGAAGATTTCAATTGGACTTTTTTATCTTTATTTAAAAACAGAAAAAAACATTGTCATTTTCAGAATATGATATTAACGATTTAAAGGCAATTTCTTTCCTTTACATTTATACATTGACCATTTATTAACAAATGTTATTTGTGCGATTTGTTTAGTTATTAATATAATATCGTTTTATCAATTCTTATTATAAGTTAGTTTCAATTTTTTTCTTATTATCTTAATAAATGTATTTTTTAAAAATCCAAGTTCTAAATTATGACTATTACAAAGTCATGGATAAGGTTAATGGAACGTTTCACGTTAATCGGACAAAACACCATTTCCGACGCATACAAAAAATATATAAACAATGTTAGTAGCTTTAGAAATTCATATTTACATTGTAGTAGAAACAAACCTAATAAATTAGACAAATTTATAATCATATGAAAAGGGCTGTCCTTTATCAAGTGGTAAAAGACGTTGACTTCAAAACACTTGCCTCTCACTGCTGTAGATTCATGCCGCGTCCTCGAAGTCTACATTACTGTTGTGAGAAAGCTATTTCAGCTAGCTTACAGTACATCGGTGATTCCACTCAGGTGTCAATTTGTGTCTGAAATAATGTAAAGAGGGACACCTGAAAACAGTTTTAAAGATCTTACCTTCCCGTTACATGCCGAAAAGTCTATAAAGCATTTATACAATACAGGTCAAATAATGTAAATGCTAAATTGCAAAACAATGCAATAAAGTCAAATGTATGGACATAAACAATTTCGAAATATTTATTGAAGGCATAACCATAAAACATGTAAATCAGAAAAACTGGAAAAATTTATAAATTGTGACATTGTGGAAAAAATATGCAGCCTGAAGTGGACTCGAACCAAGTACCCTTATAATACATGTTCTAGGCAATACAAATAAGAAACAAGAGCCACTACTGCGCCATATGTCACATTGGGATGAAAAGAATTATGAAATTTGACAGAGATTTAAACCAGTGACCCTCCAAACATCATACGATGGATGTACCAACAAAAACGATCTGGTGGCTTACGCATTTTCACTCCTAAGTCGTCAATAGTTCTTTTTCTTAACATAATTTTAGAAAAATCAGCCAAAATTAACGTTGATATCAAAATGCTTAAGATGAGGATGCCTCATATGCTAACATCCAGTGTAGAAGTATGCTAGAAAAAGAAAAATAGGGGCCATAACTCGCAACCAGTAAATATTCCTGGAAAGCAGTAAATTCATTTATGTCTAGAAATTTACATATAGATATCTTAATAACATCCGGGGGATGTAGAAGTCATAAATCTATATACATTTTTATTGATAACACTCATAATATAATATATTATATATGGAATTCAACTTGGTTAAAAGAATTTTTTAGCTCACCTGTCACAAAGTGACAGGGTGAGCCTTTGTGATCGCTTTTCGTCCGGCATCCGTCCGTCCGTCCGTAAACTTTTACTTTATGCCTACGTCACATTACAAGCGGGGACCGGCCGATATAGAGGGATCGATGGGACACCGTTGATAATTTGAGATCGGAGAGAAACATTTCAATCATGTCCGGAAAGAAGTGGGCTGTCATTCTCCCTCTGTGGTCAGTTAGGTATTCGGAAGGTTTCCGAAAGGTACTCGCCCGGACATCCGGTGAAAACCCTTGGCGTCTTCTTTCTGGACACCGGTCGATATTCTTAAGGTACCCGGCAGACTACCGTACGATAAATCTCCAGTTGCCTTCCGTTATCTGGCCTGTTTGCAACAATCGTACTGTGACGGTAAAGTATACGTGCGATATCTGGTCGGCTGTCGGACGGTATTCGTTTGGCATGCTATCCCATTTTCCAGTCGTTATTCACACTCCCTCTATTGTTGGAATATTTCCTCTTCTCCTCTTATTTCTCCCCAACCCCTTCTTTGTTTTCTGTTTTGGAAGGTATATTACACTCTGAAATCAAAGTTTTCCATAAAAGATTGTAAATGAAACTTGAAAACTTTTAGTAACCTCCATGGACGTGTGTGAAAACTGAGAGAATATATGTGTGTAATTGAGTTTCTAAATACTTACCATCGGTTGCCCGTATAGGCGAGTCCTCCAGAAGAGTATTAGTCGTTCTAGATGTTGGAGGACAGCGCAAGATACAGATAGCAAGATGCCCTAATTTCAGAAAAATATGAAAAACAAGATCAATAAGGAAAGTGGCGTTCAATGAACGCAACCCCGACACTATCTAGCAACACAGGATGACCAACATCAAAGAGCCAAGCAGGACCCAAACAATCTTCTCCTTTTTTACCTATCAAAGTGTTTCAGCACTCATACACGGGACCTCGCTTAAAGTCTCGTCTAAAAGATTCAGTTGGTAATCCCGGGAATCGAACCCACAGTGTACAGATTACAAGTCCAGCTATTTAACCGATTCAGCTCTGCACGCTGGCTAATGAGGAATGATGGTGTTATTTATGATTTACCCTGAGGACTTTGGCAGTAATGTACATACCAGAGCACAGTTCAGCCACCGCATCGTTCAAGCAGTTAAACAGTAATAATCTTTTTCACTTTCGCAAGGTACTGATAACATCTGTACAACAAAAGTGACCTTCACCGTCGTCCGAGAATTGAACACGGGTCAAAGCCTTGCCCAACGCTATCCTTACGGACATTTTAGGACCATACGTGTGACGTACTGCGTCCATCCGGGTCCCGGTCAGTAACATGTCGAGACGCCTTCGGTAACCGCTCAGATACCGCTCGGAAACTGGAGGAATATTTAGCGCCCAGGAGGTAAAATTTCTAACAGGTATGTAACCGATAACAAAAGGTGTCCGGTCGGGTATCATCGGAGGGTATTTTACCGTGTCTGCTACGTTGCACTGGCGATGTACCGGATGCCGGTAGAAAATAACTCTGTACTAAAATTCTCCGATACCCGTACGGTGCCCCACCGGTCACTTGACACCGGAGGGTCACCGGCCGGAGACCTTTAAAAAAATTGGCAATTTCAGCCCGTTCAGACATCGGTACTCGATCGTAAACCTAATCGGAGTGTAATGTGACGCAGACTTTAAATGACATCTCCTTATTAACCACTGAGCCAATTTGATCCAAACTTCACAGGAATGTTCCTTTGGTAGTCACCTTAAAAAATTGTTCAAAGAATTTAATTCCATGCAGAACTCTGGTTGCCATGGCAATCGAAAGAAAAATCTTTAAATATCTTCTTTTAAAAAACCAAAAGAGCTAGAGCTTAGATATTTGACATGACACATCTTCTTGTGAGTGTCTACCAAGTTTGTTCAAATAAAAGCCATGGGGTCAAAATTGGGCCCGCCCTATGGGGTCATTGTTTTCCCTATATGCATTTAGTAAAAACTTAAAAATCTTCTTTTAAAGAACCCAAAGAGCTAGAGCTAAGATATTTAGTATGAAACATCTTCTAATGAGTGTCTGCCAAGTTTGTATAAATAAAAGCCCTGGGGTCAAAATTGGCCCCGCCCCAGGGGGTCAGTGATTTTCCCTATATGCATATAGTAAAAACTTAAAAAGCTTCTTGTAAAGAACTCAAAGAGCTAAAGCTAAGATATTTAGCATAAAACATGTTCTTATGGGTGTCTACCAAGTTTGTTCAAATAAAAGCCCTGGTAGTCACCTTTAAAAATTGTTCAAAGAATTTAATTCCATGCAGAACTCTGGTTGCCATAGCAATCGAAAGAAAATCTTCTTGTAAGTGTCTACCAAGTTTGTTCAAATAAAAGCCCTGTGGTCAAAATTGGCCCCGCCCCGGGGTCATTGATTTTCCCTATTGTGTATAGCAAAAACTTAAAAATCTTCTTTGAAAAAACCCAAATAGCTAAAGTTTAGATATTAAGCATGAAACATCTTCTACAAGTGTCTACAAAAATTGTTCAAATAAACGCCCTGGGGTCAAAACTGGCCCGTCCCAGGGGTGTCATTGTTTTTAACTATATGTGTAAAGTAAAAACTTAAAAAACTTCTTTTAAAAAACCCAATGAGCTAGAGCTTAGATGTTTAGCATGAAACATCTTCTTATGTGTGTCTACCAAGTTTGTTCAAATAAAAGCCCTTGGGTTAAAAATGGCCCTGGCGGACGGGAGGTCATTGTTTTTCATTATATGTGTGTAGTAAAAACTCAACATCATGAAATATCTTCTAATGGGTGTCTTCCAAGTTTGTTCAAATAAAATCCCCGGGGTTTAAACTGGTCCCTCTCCGGGGGCCTATATACAGGGGAGCGACCTCAGGGCCATCATGGCCCTCTTGTTTATACCTTAGATTGGATTTTACAGCTTTTCAGTTAGCCCATATCTACAGGAATACAGCTATGCCTATGCAAAATAAATACTATTTTTGTTTGTATAACGTACAATTGACAATAGATTAATCTTGGCAAAATGACAAATAGTGCAAACAGTGCATGGGTCGTAAGTTCCAAGTAATATTGAAACAGAGAAAGGATAAAATCATTATAAGCAACCCAGTGTAGTCATGACTTTAAATACAATAAGTACAATCTGTCTATAAAAGTCAGTTGATTGTATAAAAATAACACTTGTCTTTTAGGGTAAAAGTTCATATCAGCAACCCGAGGCGGGGCTGAACTAACATATTAATATTGTAAAATATTTTAATATAGTAAAAAGTTTACATGTGCAGGGCTGCCAAGGGTGAGAACTTGAACATTGCGTTTTCTTTAGTCTTTATACACTACCTACCCTGGGGAATATTGCAAAACAATTATTGATTTAGTGATTTTTTTTTCGAGAATGATAAATCGAAATCATGCCATGTGATATCACATTAGGCTATAGAGTAAAACGTTTACGTAAGGCTATAAAATAATTATCAAACCTCAAATTCAAAATTGTTCTTAAACACTGCACTTGCTACAACCTTGTGAAGTTTCAATAAGATATATTTCAAAGTTTAGAAGTTAACGGCCTCACACGTATCATTTAAAAGTATATATACAGTTGAGTTCACACTAAAGGTTACACAAAGTGCACTAGGAGTGCACTAGAGGTGCACTACTAGTGCACTTCAAAGTGCACTAGTAGTGCACTACTAGTGCACTTCATTAGTGCACTTTGTAGTGCACCAGACCTATTATATATATTCAGCAGTTACCTTTTATTTCAATGAATAGCAATTTGACTTTTACAAAAAGATAGATAAATATAGATATCTGTTTAATAGTTTTTTATGATAAATTTGAAGTTGAGAATATTGGATTTTGTAAAATATGGCGTAGAATATTAGAACAACAATTCTTTTAAGTCATTAATTTTACTGATTTTGTACTTTAAAACTTAATTGTTAAAATAAGTAAATATAAATAATTATAACTTTAATGTTGGTAAGTGCATAAATAAACAAAATTAATTGATATTTAATAGGATTCTATTTCATTATAATCTGGTAATGAAATATGAAATGCTAATTAAACAAAATTTAGTCAATTTTTTTTTTTTGGTTTCTTTTTTTTTGGGGGGGTGGGGGGGGTGGGGGAGAGGCAAATTATACCAATTAGTTATTTTTTATCATAACTTATGGTTGTTTTAGTTAAAGGTAATGATTTTAAGCATTAATAGCCTTTAATACATTAAAGATTTAATATGTTTATAATTGGCCAAAATTTTGTCAATTTTATCTCATTTATAATCTTTTTTACCTTCTGAAACTGAGATTTACCTAAGATTAATGTAAATGATACATATATTATTCTAAAAATAAATAGTTATATATAATGGTGATATATTAAGTATTGATCTGTGTAGATTAAGTATTGATATGTAACTGTGGGACACTAGTATACTTTAACTGATATGGATATTAACAAAAAGGTTAAAAAATCTTTCAATTCCATTTTTTGAGACACACCAATCTTTTCTTTTCTTTTTTTCATGCATTGTAGCATAATAATGCAATATGATTATTTTTAAGAGTTCATTATAAAATGCAAAAAAATTTCAGTTTTCTTTTTTGTACTACTTGTATAGAAATTTATTTGCACCATCATTTACATTGCCTCAACTTATATTCATCATCTGCCTTTTGTTATTTACCCTGAGGGACTATCTTATCAGCAGGGTACTATATTAAAACACCAATACACAGCATGACTTTTGACACTTCAATCTTCTGTATCTGTTTTCTGCTCATGTATGGTATTTTATTAAAAAAAAACAAAAACAAAAAAAATAAACAAAATAAAAGGTTTGCATTGAAGTGAAAAGGAAGTTGGAAAAGTTTTATAATCATGTATTCAAATATTTTCTTTAAAATATATTATTTTCTAAATGTGTTAAAACTGACAAGGCAAATTTGTCAAATCTATAATAGAAAAAATTAACATTTCCCAGTTCATAAACTAAAAGATGATTTTAATGCAGAATTGCAAGAAATGTGGATACATATTGATATGAAGTCTTTCCAGAATAGTTAACACTGATATTGATTTTTAACCAGATTTTTATGATAAGATTTGAAAATTCCACTTCAAAGACAATAATGACAATAATATCTAACATGCGTTTATGCCATTATTATTATTTTTTTACATTTGATTATACAAAAATTATAGTTATTTATCGTAGATGTCTTACATGTATTTTGGAAAAAAAACACAAGAAATTTTAAATAAATATTGCATACATCTGCATTTTTGTTATTTACCCTGAGGCCCTCTTTTCAGCAGGAGACCAGTATAATGAAAACAGGCACTATCAGAAAAATACAAATACACAGCATAACTTGAGACTGTCCTCTTGTATAAAAGCATTCCTTTTATACATTAACTTTTTAATATAGAAATCTTAAATCAAGTTATCAATTTTATTTATTTCATGCACAGATATATAAACTTAAATTAAGCTCCATGATTTCATGGAAATTTTTTAATTATTTATATCTTTAAAAAGTATGCAAGCATTTCATGGTTGAAAAACATAATATCACAGTGTATGGATTGTTTTAAAATCAATGAATTAATATTCTCTTTCAATCTTGAACATGAGGAATTGCCTCTTAAGTTATATATTATTATGCAGAGTGGCAAGAAATGTGGAAAATTGGATAAATACAGAATTTTCCGCTTTAGAGACAATAATATCTAATATGCATTTATGCCATTATGATTTTTTATTGTATATGTTTGATTATACAAAAATTATTGTCATTTATCTATATGACTAACTAGCCTGAGTGCCAATGCCTGATGAATCCCAGGCTTATGTCTAACATGCATTTTCAATTTTGAGAAAACCAGGGAATTTTAATGCATACTTATAATCCGCAAAATTGACTGTTCTTCGTTATTTACCCTGGGGCCCTCTTATCAGCAGGAGGGTGGTATAATGAAAACAATCCATCTCAGTAAAATACCAATACACAGCATGACTTGAGATTTACCTCTTCAATAAAAGTATTCCCTTTTTACATTAAATTTTTAATATTGAAATCATGTATAAAGTTATCAAATTTATTTATTTTATGGATAATATTTTAATTATTTATATCTGTAGTTTAAAACATTTGCAAGCATTACACAGTTGAATACTAAATTATCACAGTATATTGATTGTTTTAAAATCAATGTATTAATATTCTCTTTCAATATTGAACATGAGGAATTGTCTCTAAGTTATATATTATAGAATTAATATTTTAGCTTAAATATAAACCTTTCCATGATTTGTTTTAGCTAATATGAAAAAAAAAGTTTATGTTGTTACAAACTAAATTAAATAGGTCAGAATTATCACATTTATTTTCCCATTTGTACCCTAGCAAAATTGAAATACATGGCCATTAAAATAGCTTTAAAAACACTTTTACGCAATTATCCATTAGGGAGAATATTTGAGTTTAACCTTATTAATTCTATAAATTTGATTTTAAGGGGTATTATTTTACACTTACAGTTAAATACTGGTAAATAAAAATATGATTCCAATAAATATTTTTTTTAATTTTAAGCTTTAACATGATATCACCAAAAATGTTTAAATTTTCTTATTTGTATTCATGAATAGGCCATATTCCCAAAGTTTTTTTTTCTTACAGCAGCTTAACAATAGATGCCCCCTGTCACTTGATATACAATTATCCAATAAACTATTTAGGTGTCAGTCACCTTCCCTGGCCAGCCTGGTCATATGGTCTAGTGCACTAGAAGTGCACACGGTGTGCACTTCTAGTTCAGCTCTAGTGCACTAGAAGTGCACAAGGGTGGGAAGTTTAGTGTGAACTCAACTGTATATGGAAGATAATTCGAAAATTAAGCAAGGTATTATTATAATGACCTTCTAATGCAAATTTCTGTCACTGTGTGAAGTTTTTATTAAAATCGTTTTCATGTTTTTTTTTCGGAAAAGCATTGTTAAAAAGTATCAAAGGGAGATTTTTAAAAATAACGTATGATTCCTTGACACTGTTATTATTCTAACTAGTCTCTACAACTTCTTGAAATTTCATTGAGAGATGTCATTGATAAATTAAAGTTATACCCAGGAGGAGCATTGTGTGAAAATCCCACCCATTAGTTGATGAACTTGTTTATATCAAGAAGCATGTTGACAGTATCAAACAAAATGGTATAACTTGAGCACAATGTCATAAACTTAGTCTATTGATTTTAATGTTAGTAAAGACAATTCAAAAAGAAGACAAATTATTTGTAATTATCTATTCTAAAACGTTTTAACGTTGGGTCGAATCTCCTTAATTTGCAATGTTTTACAATATGTATTATCAGGCACAATTATCTATATATCATATTTCCATAGAGTGTGACAAATAATCTTTATCCCCAACATAATAAAGTCTTAACCATGTTATACTTTAAAGATCGATCTTTTGATTTAAATGTTCAATAATTGCTTTATAAAAAATCAAGCAGTTTTAGTCACGCAATAACTGTATCCGAACGATTGATTGCATATCTAATAATTAACGTTTTGATTTGAAGTAAAATCCTCTACCTGAAATATTTTATACGTAGTTGGTGTCAAACAATTAAAACAATATTCATAATATAAATTGTGATATAGCAAGTGTTTAAGGTAATACCTTTATAATACCTTTTCTTTTATCTGTTTTGTTGATTTGAGATGTAAATTGCTTTATTCTTTAAAACCATGTATGTTTGTTTATTGGTTTTATTGGGTTTTACGTCCCACCGACACATTAAAATATGCCGACGTTCCAGCTATACTGGTGGAGGAAGACTTCAAGTGTCCTTCAGTGCATTATTTAAGGCAAGAACGGCTTAAGCCGTTCCTCTTATTTTCGGCGTATATGCCATATGGACGGCTTTAGCCGTTTCTATAATAATAATAGTAATAATAATAAATTAATAATAATAATAATAATAATAATAAATATAAAGAAAATTATACTATCGACAATAATTATTATTATACTAACAGATTTGGAAACATATATCATTATTATAATACTAATAACAATTAATAATAACTATATTAATTAATAATATAGTAATTTCTTAGAAAATCCTCTGGCAAATAGGTGAACAATAAAACAATAACCCTCTGGCAGCGAAAGGGTTAGAATAGCACAAAGTAATACGGTTGGATAACATTTTAATGGTCTATTTCAGCCAACTACCACACTGTTTTTTTTTTATTTGTTGTCTCTGGAATACTCAAATCCGATGCACAGCAAAGATGGCTGTAAAAGTAGTACATATTCCAGAATCACACAAATAAGCTGTAAGTACGGGTTAGTTCATATAGAATTTTTTTTTTATTTTCCGTTATTGAAATATAACCGTCGATGTTTTTTTATCGTATTTGAAGGAATGAATATTTGTTATTAAGCAGGTAGACATACTGACGTGAGAGGCGCTACATAAACCCTCTTGGTTAAAACTGGAAGTGATTTGCACTGTGGGTTACTTTCTTCTATTGTGTTTTACTATTAAGCTGCATATAACATATATCGTCATATGAAAGATCAACATAATAAACAGTGAAATGATGAAACAAAATTCTGGACTTTTAAGAACTGCTGGTCATAGCATTACCCGCACCCTATTTTGGTTTACATGCAACCGTGCATAGTCTACTTATTTTTACACGCAAAGATTCATTTTTTTTATAATTCAGTCTGGCAAATTATAATATAGAATATTAAAGGGTTTGTTGGCCATCTTTGATGCCTTAACTTTTCTGCAGGGTTTCCCGAAGAAAATGAAGTAAATCGTGGCTATTTAGAGCACTAATTTGAATAAGACAACAATTTCTTATTTTATCTTTTAAAGAACAGTTGTAAAAGTTTTCAACAATATTAACGATAGATTATATATGTTCAGACCGTAAGTATCCATAGTATCCAAAGTTCAACAAAGTTTAAGGTCGAACAATTTTAAATACTAAATACTCGTAAAATTGAAATACCCTAAAGATTCGTAAAATTGAATTGAATTCGTAATTTAGCATAGAACGATATATAAACGTACTTCTATTTAATCAACAGTAAAGAGCGAAATAGTTCTGTACTTACATGACTTATTTCCCCTTCAAGATGTTTTAAGATATTTTTGAACTTCAAATAGTATATTACGCGTTTATGTTACACATTTTTCCGGAATACTTGTAGCGTCTGTTTAAAATTGTATAATACCAATCATCATTTCATTAATTAAATAAATAAGTTGCTGTAATGAGTTATGAGTATTATTTTATTAAATGTCAGATGCAATTAAACGATGTACTGTTCTAATGAATATGATGACCGCAATATTTACTGAGACATTTTGTATCTACTCCTGCCATAAGATGCAGATGCTAAGTTTAGCCTTCCAAAAGTTATTATAAAGATATTTTATCATTTTTTATGATGATGTATTTATTGTTTAATTTCAGCACTACAATGGATGCACTAACGAAATTGATTGTACTGTCACAATTGTTTCTTAGAGCAATTGGTTAGTTGTTATTATTATTATCGTTATTTTTTATATTATTTTATATACATTTTAACTCATTGGAAGTGGTTGCCGAAGTGTTTTTTCTGCATTAAATATATTTTCATTGTAACTTGTAGGGAGGTGTATATTTTTTGTTTTCTTCATGTTTATTAGTTTAACTTTACATTATCATAATTAAAATCGAACATTGTCTGATATAACGATATTATCAGCATTCCTATATGAGTATACATAAATCCTAATTATGGTTCAAATATACATCTTACCAATATTAATGCAGGCAAAGAGCATTAAGCACATCGTTCCCTTTATAAATTACAAAGTTGTAAACACATGACGAAATTGATAGAAATGACATGGTAATAACTATATTAAACAGAGTTTTGCCGAATACATCTGGATTTGTTTAGGAAAAAAAACCTATACAGTATATGTTTTGTTACAATAACAAAGCCATAATATTCTGAAAATTTAATTGCAAATTAAATGTCGTGAATAAATCACTTTTTTTTCTTGGTTATTCTCATTGAAAATGTCAGTCTATACATTCAAAATCAACATAAATGGTTAATTATACTATAATTCCAACTGTAAAGATCTTCTAGTTTTAGCGTATGATAAATCCTTATGAATTTAGATGTTTCAGCTATTTTTTACCTTGTTCTAAATTGCTGTATTCTATCAACAATGTTTGACATTTAAAACATTGTATGATTTTCAGTCTACTGTATTTGTTTACTCATATTTTTTTGAGAAAAAGGTAGTGAATTACTTTAAGTAGACTTCCTTATTTGTATTTCTTTGATTTTCAGTTGCGATCGACCTAACATGTGACAGCGTCAATCCTTTGATACAATCTGATGCTACGTGTATTTGCACAAACGCACCAGGAACAGGCATAGATTGGTATTTGGATGATATGTTCCATTCAAGCTGTGTGCTGTCTACAATATGCGTACCCCAGTACAGTGGTTACAGTTACTCGATAAACATGACTGAAAATGTTTATAAGATGACTATGAATTCATATAATTATAGTGATTGTACAAAGATTACGTGTAAAGATCCGAGCGATGGTAGCATAATGCAGTCAAAGGTCCCTCCGTCAATAGGTGGGGTAATTTTTCATATACGTATTGTATAAATTATATCCAAAACATTGAATAATCAATATCATGAAAACAGAAAAAGAAAACATATATACGAACAAAATAAACAAAATGAATATAATATATAAATGAGAAAAGAAAATTGTTTCAAAATCTTTATTTTTCCTTAATAATACACATTTCTTTGTTGGAATTGCCTTTGAGTCTGACATGTTTTCTAATATATAAAACCGTTAGTACATAACTATTTCAGTATTCGATACGACCTTACCTACATCAATGTCAGAGCCAGGGTCGAACAATACCAACGGTATTATTTCTGTTACAACTGGCTGCATTTCTGGTTTCTCGGACTTGAAGTATGACTGGTTTATAATTGTTGTAAGTTTTTTTTGTTCTTTTTAAACACGGAATTCTGCATTATATTAGTAAAAATATGTCCTGAAATCACAGAGGAAATTCGCTGCTGTCATTGTTTTATTAATTAAGGACAAAGATTAGAAAATAAATTAATATATTTTACTATAACCTGCTCTGCATTTATAACATACAAGGTTTGTATAAGATGCAATTCTATTTCATCAAGTGAGCTTCAAAACTGTATACTCACAAGTCGCTTGAACTAAAAAATGGACATGAGATTGCAATCTAAATCTTTTATCATAAATAATTGTTTGTATAAATGACCAAAATAAACAACCCCATTAAATTAAAGTTATATAAGTTTTCTTTCGTTCTAATCCATTCCAATTTAATATTAATGTTTTAAAAATTATAACCATTTGAAATGTAAAATATATGAAATATTGAAATGAATATGTTTAAACTTTGCCTGAGATGTAAATTATTCAGTCCATCCAAACCGACAAGTTTCACATCTTTAAACCCTTTTCAAAAGGACGGGCAATTATTTACTAAAGCTGTTATACCGACGCCAGGTTCTTGACAGATCTAGCTGAAGACTGTCATTGATTTTCCAGAACAATTCTAGTGTGAAATTATATAATTATAAATTTCACTGTGATATTTTCGAAAAAAAAATTATTGATCCATTCAAAAGTATAAAATAATTTCATTTATACGTTATTCACAATAAGCTTACTTGGTCTAATGTTATTCAACTCGTTGATCGTTATTATTATAACATTCAGTGCGACACAGAATGCTGGATCAGTTTTGATAAAAGTATTTATTGTTGAAAATCATTACAAAATGTTGCTTACATATTTGTTGGTAATTAACTGCATTATACTAGTAATATTCGCACAATGTCCACGTGAAAAACTATAGTTTAAGATGCTCTTGCTACCTTTTGTTATTATTGCAATAATTTATTTTGATATTTTATGTTTAAAATGCTTTCAAGGAAGGTTTAGAAGAAATATATTCTGTAGATGAATCAAGCAAAATTGACACTAACGACACCTCTTTGTGCACAAAATGCAACACGAATGAGAATGGAAAGAGAACAATTGGATTTCAGCATAAAGAGACGTCAGGGTCTGGGACTAAGGCCGTCCTTTTTAAAGTACTATTGCACCATACATCGACAAATTTGCAACTTAATATTACATCAAGCTTTTATTACACAGTAAAAGGTTAGTTTAGATTTTTCAACGATTACTTTTTAAATACGCTATTACCTTACAAACTAATTATGAGGAGAGAAAATAAACCTTTTCATGCTTTAAAATGTTCATTGTCGCTGGTTGTCATCAATTAATCGCTGAATATCATATTTGAATTAATTAATTTTTGTATCGCATGCTGATCCTTTTATAAATGCAAAATATTTATAATCATGCGTTGTGATGGGTATTAAAAGTATACTTATATCTCATGTTGAACATTATATGTCATTTATTATGATAATCTATAATTTTTAAATTATTTAATCTATCAGAACGTTGTACTTCATGTTTAACGTTGGGATTTCAAATAAAGAAGGGAAAAGTCATTGGCATTTCTAAATGATTCAATACTTTCTCTGCTTTTAAACAATATGTCACTGATAATATTATAATAAAAGTATGATATTTCACAATAGCTTAATTGCTTCACCAGTTTTCAATGAACAGTTGATATGTCAACCTGTGAACAAATCTAGTTGACTTTACAATAATTTATCTTTGAATATTATATCGCTTTCAATTGGGTAAACCGTTGACTGATTTTTACAACAGCTTAATTACAGTTATTCAATTTAAGCAAAATTAGCGAAAAATATTACAAACACGATCAAGTACTCAAATATTAAGACATAAATTGTCATGAGAGTAGAACTGGAATGTGATAATGAATACAAGCCTCGAGGGCTTTAGCCCGTGGGCATTATACATTCAAGGGCCGAATTTTCACTATCCGCGCCCCTCTTTGCCATGTACGAGTATTAATATCTGCATATATGTAACTTGGATTTAACTAAATAAAAGATTGGAGCAGTACCTCTAGACGCTTGCAGAAATCATGATCACAAAATAGACCAATAAAGATTTTCCCCCGATTCTTACATGTTTTATTCATAATCGTAATACTATGTAAGTCGGTGTGTAGAGATGGATTGCACGTTTAAAAGTTCATTCCGTTGTGTGAAATTTTGCGATATTTTATTATTTAATCACTCAAGCGCCTTGTCCGGTATGTACCGAAATATGTTATTAAGCTTGGTAATCCAATTTTTTTTTATATTTCATTCAGTACAGGATTGGAGCAGTACCTTAAGACGCTTCACAAAATAGACAGAATCGTTTTTTTCTCCGATGCCTTCATTTTTCATTCATTTTCGTAAATAAATCGGTGTGAAAAGGTGAATAAGACGTTTTAAAGATAAAAAGACGAGATATAGGTATTTAGCCATTGTATCATCTTTTTCGTATAATATACCGGGATGCAGTTATTTTTTGTGGTTTTCCAATTTATTTTTAGTCTCACTCTAGTGGCTTCCCTTATGGTATACAAAGAATCAAGAAGCAAGTTTTATTTCCTCCCGATGGTCGTATTACTTTTTACATTGCAATAAAAACAGTTTTTGTACAAAGTTCGCATAAAATCAAACGATTCATGCTTAAACCATAAACATAATTTCACTTTTACGTGACGTCATTGTTCCTATTTGTTGACATACTCGCGTCAGCGGGTCAATTATTGTTATGAGTATTTCGGCACGGGCCACAAACTCATAATCGGTCACGTGACACTCATACTCAGTTAAAATCAACGACAATTGTGTTACAACGGACGCTCTGGTATAGTGGTTAGCATCCTGGACCGGCAATCCAGAGACCCGTGGTTCGAGTCCCGGCTGCGGCGTGCCGATCTTATATATATATATTAGTATAAATTTACAGTATAATCCGTACTAACAACCACCCCGGAGTTAAAACCACACCGCCATTAAGACCATTTTTTGAAAAGACGTAATTTTCTGTTCTTAATGTTCAGAATTAAGACCACCCCGCTTATCCACTTTTAATACCACCAGATTCAGGCCCAATTTATTGTTTTATTCTTTATTTGAACCCACTATGGAGACCATTGATATTAAAAACAACACCTATTTAATTCCTAAATTTGTTAGTATCATCTGCTTGAATGCTCTTAGGCATGACACTTGATTTCACAAGATGTGGGAAAAAAACTGTTGCTATTGGGTTATTGTATGAAATGAGGTAAGAAAGTAAATAATAAAGTGTTTTAATGTTTTAATGTTGCTTTCAGCACATTTTTTTGTGTGGTGAATTAATTTCGTATTTGATAGGTTAACTATGCACATCATATACATGTAATAATTAATATTGAAATCAGACCAAAAAGAAGTTAATGTTAAATTTCTTCAGAAATATATTTACCTCTCATCAGATTAAATATTATAACATTCTTTTATATTGTTTATAAACATATTGTTTGTTCATACAACATGACTAAAATAGACCATGGTCATAAAGTATGTATGATCGTCTTAATTGAGGGTTTTCACTGTACATTAATTTTATGAGTGACTGTCAAATTCAATTTGAATTACTTGAAGGCCTTGTTAAAAGCATTGTTTTTATTTTAAAAATATCATAAATAAATAAATAAATAATTAAGGCCATTCAAATGTGTAAGTTTAATGACGGAAACGGCAACAACAATCTGATTGTTGTAATAGCTCGAAATATTTATTCATAAATTTCAAGCTAGTAAATAACAACATATGGATATTGTATTTATGTTTTATTTGGATAATTATTTACCATATACCTCTCACAATACAATTATGTTAAATTATTTTAACATCTTTATTTGTATTGCTCAGTCACAAGTGAGGACAGTGATGACAGTGAGGACAGTGAATTGAGCATAGGTGCTATAATTGGTATTGTCTTTGTATTAGTTATCGCGGTTATACTTACCTGCAATGATCTATGTAAGTATTTTTAGCTTTGTTTTTTTATGTATCATAGTAGCAATCCTTCCTGGAAGTTTAAAAATTAACGATCATTAAAATGATGCGCATGACACAATATCTCATTACTGTGACAATTTGTGCCAAATATTTTCAAAATCCCCTGATAGATAAGGTTATTAGTCTGATACAATGTAGCACTAATTTTTCACCAACAGCAATGTTGACCTATCAATACCAATTGAACTTTGACCTTCAAGGTAAGCGACGACACATCGTCTAATTATTGTGAACATTTATGCCGAATATTTTCAAAATCCCTTGAAGAAAGTTATGGACCGGACACGATATATACACGTGTAAATTTAAAAGGAATTTAATCAAAACAATTTCAATTATATATTTAGTTATTTTTTCAGTGTCATTTGCCGTAAATTGGAGACACAATTTGTTAACTCACAGATAAAGGTTCATTTAATATTCTGAAACATTTTTTCTTAAAACTTTATTTTTACCCGTTATATGTTAGTGTTTATTTATTTACAATTTCAGGTTTTTACCGACATAAAAAAGGTAAATATGACCGATTTTGATCAGGTTTTTAACTATTGTACTTGCTTAGTGTTATAAAATAAACAAGACTTGATTATTGTTTACATCAGTCTTTATTTTGTAGGCGATATGTATTCAGCAGTTGTATTTTGTGATTATGCCATGCCATGCCATTAGGTTTCGAAAATCCTACAGAGAGGTTGAAGCTTGATTTTAACATCTCTCATTGTCAGACATAACTTCATTGATTCGGGCTCAGAATGTTGAACCTAAAACAATTGTTTTTAAGGGCTATTAGGCAGTAAAGATTTGTCGGGAACCACCCCCCCCCCCCAAAAAAAAAACAACAAAAAAACAACAACAACAAAAAAAACAACACACAAACAAACAAACAGTAATAAAACAACACACACACACACACACACAGACTGGTATAAACAAATTTTGACAAACAGTTATTATTTGATTTGACTATCGTAATGTGTAGTTATAGAGTTAGAAAGTATCATGGGAACTTGGGAACAGGACTGCGCATATTGCGGCGCATATCGAATCGGTACAGGCTTTTCATAGTGTTTGTCAGACCTTTTGATATTATTTAAGTGGGTGATCTTAAATATATGATCTGAATTTAATATAATCTGCTTGTTTAAAAATCAGTCAATTTTACGGTATATTCAAAGAAAAAAGAAAGAAAAGGAGTGGCATCCGCCATTTACCGTAACGTTCGGCGCTTGTTACTCGCCTTTATATGCTTGGTTTTTGTTTTAACTTTTCTGGTTCTCACAAAATTTAGGTCAGACCACTATATTTATTTTCACATATCTATTGTCCAACAATATGCACCTGGCACCTCATTAACCTTCGTAAAGATCATTGGATAAACACTGGCAAGTTACGAATTTTAAGAGGCTATTTTTTCGTTTGAGTGAAATGTGGTATATATTTTCATGAAGTTCAACATGATGAAGATAAAAGGATATTTTTTCGTTTTTCGTGAAATATGGAATATATTTTCACGAAACATGATAAAATGCCACATACTTTCACGAGCCGGGACGAAGAAATAACCTTTGTATTTAATTTCATCAAAGAAAACTTGTTACGAACCCTCTTGTTTGCTACACAAATGCAATTGTACAGCTTTTTGCACGCGATATTTAGCGCTACATTGTGACGTCACGTAAACAACTCTTTAAACGTCTGTACAGCGTTAATGACTGAATTAAAAATACTGATGTTCGGATTTACTTTCTTAGCGTTAAAAACAGTATTCTTACGAGTGGCGTAGACACAAGTGAGAATACTGTTTTTAAAGTTCGTGAGATGAAATAAAATTACATCTTACACAACAAACAAACAAATTTTCCTTTTATTTTATGCTTAAAAACAAGTTAAAACGAAATTTCCTTGATATTAACTTTAATATTAAAATCTGTTTTCCACACTGGTAGCCTCCATTATGTACATGTATTAGTCGAATTTCTCATAAAATACATGAAGTCTTGGACTGAAAAATCAACGTTAAATGGCGATGATATTATTCATTTTATTCAAATAATATGAATGATCGCTTGTTTTAATAACGAAAACAAACAATTATAGTAGGAGAAAAAGTCAAACCATCCATCTATATTTCTGTTACTTACGACGAATTTATATTAGACCCGGCTCTGTGAAATGTAAGCGGTCTCAATTTTTAAAAGTTGTGTATTTCACGGGAAGAAAATAATTGTGTTTGATTCAGAGGGATATCATTTAGATTTGTTAGTCATACATCTTTTAAGGAGAAAGAAAACTTATTTGAGGATTGTAACAGACAATAAATAAGTGTTGACAGATGTGTAAACATTCAAAAAGCGGCCGGCTAGGAAAAAGGAATCATGGACTTTTTTAAAGGCTTCCTGACGAACGTAGGGTTGTTTACTTACTCTTCGGGCTGATGTCTGTCATGACTTTTCATGTGATTAGGCAGTCATTGCTCGTAGGATACCTAAATATGCCCAGATGTCGTCAAGAGAAGTTTTGCATGTGGAAGGAATTGTTTTTTTAAGACTGTAAAAATGAAACAAAAATTTAGAGACGATATTTGGTAATTGGTAATATGAATGAATTGAAGTAAGTTTTCTTCTTTTTATTATTTTTGAAATTTCAGTTATTTATCAATTTCAGCTTTGCTTTTCTCTAAACAGCCCTGACAATGTCAGAATTGTCAGCAATAATACAATTGAAGTACCGCATGGGGAAAATCTTAAAAAGTAGTCTTATCATTGAAAAGTGCGAAATTATATTTTGATAATTTTCACTGTGAAATTATCAAATATAATTTTCACGGATAAATCAGTAATCCACTGAAAAGCATAAAATAAATCGATATATTTGTTAATTTAAATTTAACACGTCCGTGAGGTGTAGTGTATTGGAACAAATGTCAGGCTATGGATCGGAAGGTCTCTGGTTCTATTCCTAACCAACACCACGTTATGAAGCCACACAATGTTTTTTTAATTTACTTGCAATAATTAATTTAGAATCGCTGTGCAATATCTGGTTTTGGACACCTTTTAAGAAGATGTATACAATTGTACATATTATTTCATAAATGAGCTTTAATAGTAAGTACAAAGCGTTTATAATACAAATCAATGACACTATCTAGCTTAAATGGTGGTGTTACTTGTTTATGGAACTTTTTTGGAACAATTTTGTAATAATGCAATTGATTACAGTGAGTAATTTATGTAATTTAAAAAGCCATGGCATTGTTTTAACAAAAAACTTTATAATCATATAAATATATTATAACATTGATAACTTTACGAAACAGAGTTCAATTAAATTGGATATTCATTTATCAATACATGAAATTGAGTTTTGTAACATATCATCTGAGTGCTGGTTCGCAACGGAATGAATTAAAATGTTAAACTTACACAGGAATAATTGAATACACATGAATTTACAAGTAAAATAATTCTTATATGATGCGTCTGAACTTTGCATTTTAATTTCCTTACAAACAACGTACTGAATAAACTGGAAATCAACGAAGCCTTATAAAGATATCTATACCACAAAGAACCTTTGGCAAAAAATTGGCTACCATTTCAAACAAGAAGTATCTTTAAAAAAAATACTCGGGCGAAGTAAAACTGGTAAACTTGCATATGTTATTTCTAAGGTTTTGATACCTAAAGAAATTCTAGCAATGCCTGCATAGCAATGATTTACTATTTTCATGTAGCTAAGAAAGAAACAACAAAGTATTTTGTAAACATAGACATTAAATTATAAGGAGATTGATGTTTATGCATCTTTGATGTAAACTTGTCGGCTTGTAAACGTTATTGGTGCTCTCGTTGTATAACTCAAAATTTATACTCGGTAAGTTTTAGTGTGAAAAAAACTGATGTATTTTTTCTTCTTTAAGAACTGCTTGTTTTTATTATTAAAACAAGCAATCATTCTCATTTTTGTATAACATAAATTGTATCATTGTTGATTTTTAACTTACTCTTTAGCTCAAGACTTCATGTTATTAATGAAATTCGTCTGAAATTTTTGTTTTGGTTGCCATCAGGGAAACATTGATATTGATGTTAAAAACGAGGAAATTAAAATTTAATCTTGTATTTAAGTTTGTTTGTTGTGAGAAATGATATTTTACAACAAACATTTTTACTCTTGGATACAAGCAGCAACCAAAAATTAACATCTTAAATACCTATGCTGAAAATACAGCGTTTAGATATCACCGCTAATCTGGGCTGTCGTCCATTCTAGGAAATGGACTGTTGTCAATGTGAACAAAGATCGGTAATTCAGTTTTATTTTCGGAATAACTTAGAAAATTTGATAACACAAAATAAAGATGAGAAAATGTTGTTTTATCGTTGGTTACATTGATAAATACTTTTTAGATCTATATTATTTGAAAATAACGTTAAGTGACGGATTTTTTTATGGACATGTGAGTTTTCAAGAACTTTAGAATGTCAAATCTTATATCTAGCTTTAAAATGCCCGTTAATCTGAAGCCATGTCAGTAATTATCTTAAATGAATGTTTAATACATAATTCATACTTTTAAATTGCTTTATATTCTTTTGATATTAAAAAGACAAAGGTAATTGTTTGTTCTTTGCATTTATTTTTTTTTCAAGATTCTAAGATACATTTTAACACTTGTAAATACAGTAAATATTAATGATGTCAACGATGGAGCAATGGAGTTTAACAGAAAATACTTTGTACAATTTGAGCATATATTCTCTAACAAACAAGGAAAGTCTTAGAAGCAAACACTGAATATACATGTAACAACACACTGTGAGCAATTATATATTATATAGAATACAGATACAATTTTTATATGAAAGTGCTTTGATAAGATTTTAGACATACACATTTTGAATTTTGAATAATTGTACATCGACAATCTAATGGATACTGTATATAAGAATCAATTTGAAATAACATAGTTTACATATTATCTGATGTAAAAGTTATTTATATGTAACAGTAGATTTCGTTTTCAATCTTGTTTAATGAAATTAAGTAAACCATGAATTTCCTTAAATGAATGTTTTATGCATAATTCATACTTTTAAATTGCTTTATATTTTTTTGATATTTAAAAGACAAAGGTCATTGTTTGTTCTTTGCCTTTATTTTTTTTCAAGATTCTAAGATACATTTAAACACTTAGAAATAAAATCGACTTCACAAACAGTATTTCAAATAATTTTTAAACAAACATTATCAGAATACTTTTTGAGCAGTTAATAATTACTTCTAATCCTGCTAAATACTTGTATATCTACAGGCGACCCGGACCATTTCATGGACCTTTTATAAGATTGTAAACATCTACTTGAGATTGAAAGTGTGTTTGATAAAAGAATGTCATTGATGCGCTTTGTTTCTCAATTTATTAATGTGAATGCGTTTTGTTTTGTAGGTCCACCTGCATCTGGAACTAAAACTCCTTCTGAGACTAATGTTTATGTATAATAAGGCATCAACGTTAATACGAAAGCAAAGATATCATAGTAAATTTACTCAAGCATCAGAATATCTCCGGCATCACATGAAACTACCAACACCAGGATTTATTTTAGACGTAGACGAGAAAAACGGTGAAGGTATTTTAGTTGACTTGGTAGAAAAGACAATATATTACCAAGATCCAATTGCAGAGTACGAAATTTGAAAGCATCAGACGAGCTTTAAATGTACTCATTTATATTCATAATTGTGATGAAAATTGTCATTACTATTAATACATGGTGAAGATTTAATTTTCATTTTAAGTATTCAAATGTATTCTTAGTTAGCATCAGCAAGCAATACGTTTAAATAATTGTAGTAAAAGACATAAGCATTTGTTAGTGTTATTGATTCAAGAGTATCCTTTGTTATAAATTTAACAACTGCATAAAATCTGAGTGTATGAACAATGAATATACTTTATGTTTAAAATTGTCCTGTAGTGAATATGATATCAAACAGAAGATATTTTTTATTTTGAATTAAGTATATACAATATACAACAATATATGCATGCATGAATATGAAAAATGGTAACACACTTATAAATAATTAATAAATTAGTAAATTAGAGAGAATATGTCATGCAATCCTTAAACTTTTTAAACCAATATATCTGAAACAGCTGCTATTTTTATTTGACAACCATGACCTTACATTATTTATTTGTTCGGCTGTGTGGATGCTTCTAATTTAAGAATAATGTTGTATTTAAGTCAGTTAGTCAAGGAAAATCAAATCTTGTTTTCAATACTATTTCATTTATGGTAATTAAGTTAAGTAATACAAGAGCCTATAAAATTACGCATACACATTACATATATTAACATTAAATTCGTGTTATGAATATAATGCAGAAACGAGATTGATTCAAGTGCAGCAAAAATAGATTTTTCTTTGTTAACACTACCACATATGACACTATCGCGTCTTTTAATCGTTTGATAGAAGGTTAGCGTTAACTCCTTTTTGTACGAAAATATATGTTGACGATAATTCAATGTCAGTTTAAGATTAAGACAGCATACGAGTACATTGTATATGACAAGGGGTTAAAATTGTCCAAATTCATTTGATTAATTGCTATCATAAAAAAGTCCAACTGACGAATTCAATTTCACTGAGCGATGATCTATGAATGCTTTGTGCGTAAACATAACCCCTCAGAAAAAACATAAGATGCTTTCGGATGCGGGTATAGCCACAATATAGGCAAACGAAACGATGGAAAAGAAATGATTCTGGAGAGGGCTGACTTACTATGAGGAAGGGAAGAAAACTTAATTATAAACATATGCCAGTTAATTAAAAAAAACGAAATCTGGCACCTAAACATAGCCGATATTTTTGACGAGGCATGTGCGAATCATCAGATCAGTTTTAAGTCATGTTAACATCTGAATTGCTTTCTAGGTTTTGAAATGATTAACTGACAAATTGACCTATCAAATAGAATAAAAAATAAGTTAAGATAGAATATAAATTCATTTTTACAAAGTAATTACTTTGCAAAAATGAATTTATAAGGATTATCTCAACTTCTGAAATGGTGACATATTTCAATTGTTAAAATGTATATTATTTTTGAAGTGAAAACTTTCATAGTTTCTGAGAAAATTGAAAATTTTGCATAAAATAGTATAAGGATCATCTTCCTTTTATGAAAGAAAACATGTATGACAAGTTTAAAAAGAATACATTCTATACGTTCCGAAGAAAGGACCTTGACAAAAAGGTTAACCAACGTCGACGCAATGCAAATGCCGACGAAAGGATCATGACAATAGCTTCATTTTTTTCTACTGAAAGAGAAGCTAATAAAACAAGACAATATTTATGACGATATGCGCAGCTGCAATTTAACTAATTTGACTTCTTGACGCCATGTTACAAAAATTACGCAACATTAAACATAGTATCTTATATATGATTACCCGCGGGTAGTGAAAGGAAAGACACATAGGTATCTATACTTGGATAAAACAGCGACACTATTTCTAGAAACGAAAGGGACTACTACATTTGTATTTCAAAGACGTTAATCAAAACAGCGACATGTTTAAATTATGGTTTCAGAGAAGGTTTAATGCTTTTTACTTGAACGAATAAGCGATAAATGTGACATAATTTGCAGTAAAAGTAGCAAAATGTTAACAAAGTGGTAATTTGACTTCCGTTATAAAATATTTATTCACTATAACTGTACTGATTTCCAAAACGCAACAGATGAAAAAGATGGTTCCTGTAATTGCCTAATGAGTAACTTTGTTATACAATAAAAGAACAATAAATGTAGAACGTTACCTTAGATATCGCGCTATAGATTATTACCAATAAGGCATTTAACTGGCGTATCACAGCTGATAAACACAATTTCTTTTTGAATTCAGTTCAACGTAGTTAAATTAAACAGTCTAAAATGATTCTCGTGAAAGAAACAGAAACATCGTTTAGTTTTTAAAGTTACTAATATCATTTTTTTCCCAAGACAAAACTTCAGAACAGCAGAATTTTCATATTTTTAAACAAAAAGGTATTTCGAGTTGGAGTCACAATTCTTAGTATTTTGATTAATTTTAATTTTACAATTTTAAGACTTTTATCTTTTTAGTGGTTACATAGACCTGTTAAAAGTCATTTTCATATCTTCATATATTTCATTTTCATATATTTTAAAGCTCACTTTTAGGAGATATTACTTTCCTCCCTGTCTAATTGTATATGCTGTAAAATACTGTTTTCATGATATTTTATTTGTATTTAATTCAATAAAATGGACTTCAAAAAAACTTATAACGACTTATGTTGTTTTTCATTATCCTTTATTACTCTTATGATTATAAATATACGAAAACTTGAAATGTTTTGCATGGTGCTTAAATCTGGAAAAAGTATCAATTTAAAAAGTGTGCCGTCTATGAACAGCGACCAACAACATCTGCCTAAAACTGTCAATAATGTCTTTAAGCAAAAATTGAAGAATTAATAAAAATGCAAAATGAAAAGTTATTTATTTCGCTGTTTGCAGAAATATCATACACACAATCAAGTAAATATTTAGTAATAAGATACAAATATTATGTTCAAGGAAATAGGACAAATACAAGTTTATAAGAAAGTTCAGAAGCAATCACAGCCGAACTTCTTATTCAATATTTGGAAAACATACCTCAAAATGTAAGTCACAGTCACGAGACGACAAAACATAAAATTAATTCGAAAACAGTTGCTTATTTTGTTACATACCTCATACTTTGTATGCTCACCTTAAGTAGCACAACAAAAATGATGAAGGCCAAAAATGGTAACAGTTTCCACTTTAATTGCCAAATGACACGATCTGTAAAACCGTTTTAAAGTATTAGAATGTTAGAATGTTTTACAATTGTTATCATACTGTCATACGAAATATGTAACAGGAACAAAAAATAAAATAAAAAATTAGAAAAAAGTAAACAATTTGGCATGTACGTGGACATTTTGAAATCCCTAACCGATACATGTGTTGACATGGCTAACTCCCACTATTACTCTGCTGTTAAGCTAACTTCAATGTGTTCCTTAGTCGAAATGTAGGTAGTCAATGCCACAGTAATTTTTGACTTTTTTCTTGTTTCAACAATACGTTTGACATGTTTAAGGATAATTCAATAGAAACCCTTGGGGTCTTTAGATTTAGAAGGATTTTCATGAAGCAAAACATACATTTAAAAACTTGTCCAAGGTAAGATGAAAAAGTAACAGAAAAAAGGTAAAATGAAAGATAAATACATTCTGAAACTATTTTATCATTAAAATAATGTCACAAAAGCGACGCTTAAACTTTGTGTAACGTCAATGGAACACTGCTTCATTACAGGCTCGTCATAATCATCATCTTGGGTGTCCCAAGATAACATGTTGTATCGTCAGACTTTTCTCAACCTTCAATGAACCGGGTGATGCTCCCCGACTAGGTTTTGGACCCAGAAAAGTATATTTTTGTAGTTTCAGAGTTCTGTCCCAGCCAAAGTTCAAAGTGTGATTATTCAAAATTTAGGCAATGCTGAGTTACTGTTCTTTGCATTGCACCTCTACTCAATGAGATCTATCTACCGACTCAATATGGTGACCATTTCTGTGAAATAGTTGTAAAATTTTGCTGCAAGGTCATGCTGTATCCTTGACCTTCAAGGTAGCGACCCAAATGTTGCACGCGACACGGCATCTCAATATGGTGATCATTTTTGTAAAATAGTTGTGAAATCCTACTTCAAATAACGAAGTCATGGGCCGGACAAGATTTTGCTGCAATGTCATGCTGTGACCTTGTCCTTCATTTTAGCGACCCAAATGTTGCGCGCGACACGTTGTCTTAATATGGTGATCTTTTCTGTGAAATAGTTGTGAAATCCGACTCCAAATAACAAAGATATGGGCCGGACACGATTTTGCTGCAAGGTCATGCTGTGACCTTTAAGGTAGCGACCCAATTGTTGCGCGCGACACGTCATCTCAATATGGTGATCTTTTATGTGAAATAGTTGTAAAATCCGACTTCAAATAACAAAGTTATGGGCCTGACACGATTTTGCTGCAAGGTCATGCTGTGACCTTGACCTTCAAGGTAGTGACCCAAATGTTGCGCGCGACACGTCGTCTTAATATGGTAATCATTTCTGTGAAATAGTTGTAAAATCCAACTCCAAATAACGAAGTTATGGGCCGGACACGAATTCGGGACGTACGGACGGACGGACAACACGGCGACTATATGCTCCCCCGAAATTTTTCGGTGAGCATAAAATGCTAAGTATTCAAGAATTGAATTTCGAGATTTCTGATCAGTCAACGGTTGCTGTAAATTAGGTATAAAATATTTTCAATCGGAGCATTGAATGATAAATTTTAGAATATATTTACACATATAAGTCTGCCTTTTAATTGTTTATTTGTATCCGTCGTTGTCTTTCCTGGTCAAAATTTGTTTTTAACTTTAAACGCTTACACTTGTGCTAATAAGATATAAAAGCATAAAGTTTGTATGATGACTCGTCATTTTACAAAAAATACACATATTGAGTGAAATATTGCGCCGCACAAACGGAGTAGCTTTCTTATTTTGATCAATCAAAATGCAAAATAGGCATGTAATGGTGTTTACTTTGAGTGTATAATAAAGTT